TGCAATGATGCGATAGTTTGAACATTCTTTGGCATTGCCTTTCTTTGGAATTGAAATGAAAACTGACCTTTTCCAATCCTGTGGCCAGTGTTGAGTTTTCCAAATTTGCTGGCAAATTGAGTGTAGCACTTTTACTGCATCGTCTTTTAAGATTTTGAATAGCTCAGCTGGAATACTGTCACCTCCACTAGCTTTGCTGTTGCTCAGATTTCCTAAGGCCCATTTGACTTCACATTCTAGGATGTCTGACTCGAAGTCAGTGACCACCCCATCGTGGTTATCAGGGATGTTAAGCTCATTCTTGTATAGTTCTTCTGTGTAATTTTACAACCTCTTCTTAATCTCTTCTGCCTCTGTTAGGTCCCTGCTATTTTGGTCCTTAATCATGCCCATCTTTGCATGAAACGTTCCCTCCATATCTCCAATTTTTTTGAAGAGATCTCTGGTCCTCCCTATTCTATTGTTTTCTTCTATTTCTTTGCACTGTCCATTTAAGAATGCATGGTTTTAGTTGCTACCTCTTGTACAATGTTGCGAACCACCATCCATAGTTCTTTAGGCACTCTGTCTATCAGATCTAATTCCTTAAATCTATTTGTCACCTCTACTGTATATTCATCAGGGATATGATTTAGTTCATACCTGAGTGGCCTAGTGCTTTTCCCTGCCTTCTTCAATTTAAGTCTAAATTTTGCAACAAGAAGCTCATGATCTGAGCCACAGTCAGCTCCTGGTCTTGTTTTTATTGACTGTACAGAGCTTCTCCATCTTTGGATGCAGAACACATAATCAATCTGATTTCTGTGCTGACTGTCTGGTGATGTCCAGACTGGACTGGACTGTCTGGTGGTGTAGAGTCGTTTCTTGGGTTGTTGGAAAAGAGTGTTTGCTATGACCATCGTATTATCTTGACAAAATTCTATCAGCCTGTGCCCCGCTTCATTTTGTACTCCAAGGCCAAACTTGTCTGTTATTCAGGTTATCTTTCGGCTTCCTACTTTAGCATTCCAATCCCCCATGATGATAAGGACATCATTTTTTGGTGTTAATTCTATAAGGTGCTGTAGGGCTTCATAGAACCAGTCAATTTCATCATCTTCAGCACCAGTGGTTGGGGCATAGACTTGGATTACTGTGATATTGAATGGTTTGCCTTGGATTCGAACTGAGATAATTCTGTCATTTTGGGGATTGTATCCCAGTATTGTTTTTCTTACTCTTTTACTGATTATGAAGGCCACTCCATTTCTTCTGAGGGATTCTTGCCCGCAGTAGTATACCTGATGGTCATCTGAATTAAATTCTCACATTCCTGTCCATTTTAGTTCACTGATTCCTAAGATGTCGATGTTCAGTCTTGTTATCTTTTGTTTGACCACGTCCAGCTTGCCTTGATTCATGAATCTTACATTCCAGGTTCCTATGGAGAAAAGATCTTTACAGCATCGGACTTCCCTTTCACCACCAGATGCATCCACAGCTGAGCATCTTTTCGGCTTTGGTCCAGTCGCTTCACTCTTTCTGGCACTACTAGTACTAGCCCTCTGCTCTTCCTCAGTAGCATATTGGACACCTTCCAACCTGAGGGGCTCATCTTCCGGCATCATATCTTTTTTCTTTTTGGTACTGTTCATGGGGTTTTCATGGCGAGATACTGGAGTGGGTTGCCATTTCCTTCTCCAGTGGATCACATTTTGTCAGAGCTCTCTGCTACGACCTGTCCGTCTTTGGTGTCCCTGCATGGCATAGCTCATAGCTCCATTGAACTACACAAGCCCCTTCGCCATGACAAGGCAGTAATCCACGAAGGGGTGCGTAATATCACATTATGATATATTGCACCAATATGAACTTGTTGCACATTGCGCCGGCGTCTATCATACTACATCATTGGTATCCTTCAGTTTCAAGAGACTATGGTATCGTGCTCTGGAAAGAGGTCCTAAAACAGCATCTAGTGTGACTAGAAAGGCCAATTCGAGAGTGGCGATCCCTTCCACACTGAGGGCAGATACATTCTGTCCCCTGCCCTGTCCCCAGATTTCCCTGGTTCCGGGACTGCCTCTTTGCCTCAGCCTGCCAAACAAGTGTCTCTTCAAATTGGAGAAGGCCATGCTGCATCTTTAGCCTCCAGGCTGAACGATCAGAGGTCAAGGTTTCCCAGTTGTTATGTCCATTCCCAGGGCCTTTAGGTCCCTCTTGCAGATATCCTTATATCGCAGCTGTGGTCTCCCTCTGAGGCGCTTTCCCTGCACTAATTCTCCATACAGGAGATCTTTCGGAATCCGACCATCAGCCACTCTCACGACATGCCCCAGCCAGTGTATACATGCTAGAAATTCCAGCACGTTCCAAGACTGCGCTATTTGGGACTTTGTCCTGCCAGGTAATGCCAAGAATTTGTCGGAGACAGCGCATATCATACTACATACTTATGACGTTATGTTGCTTTCAGGAGTCTGACAACCCATGGATAAAAGCTGTTCTTCAGCTGTTCGTACGACTGGCTATGCTTCTGTATCTCCTGCCCGATGGCAGGAGAGTAAAGAAGTGCTGACCAGGGTGTGAGTCGTCCTTGAGAATTTTCCTCACTCTTCTAAGGCAGTGAGTCCTAGTGATTTCGTCTAGTGATGTCAGGGAACAGCCTATGATGTTTTGAGCCATGCTTATCACACTCTGTAATGTCTTTCTATCTGTGGTTGTCAAGCCAGCATACCATACCATAATGCAATAAGTGAGGACGCTTTCTATTGTGGCCTGGGAAAAGGAGGTCATCAGTTGTTATTCCGCCTTATTCTTCCGCAAGACTCTAAGGAAGTGGAGTCTCTGTTGGCCCTTCCTGGCCACCTGAATTGTGTTGTTTTTCCAGGTGAGGTCTTCGCTAAGATGGACTCCCAGGAATTTGAAAGAGGGGATTCTCTCCACACAGCCCCCCCCTCGATGTAAAGCGGGGCAGGTTCCTCTCTCTTCTTCCGGAAGTCTAGTACCATCTCCTTTGCCTTGCTGATGTTCAGGTGCCAGTTGTTTTCTGAGCACCATATGGATAATTTTTGAGCCTCCCCCCATATGCTGCTTTGTTTGCATCTGTAATAAGACCCAGTATGGTGCTGTCATCTGCGAACTTAATGGTCACAGTGGATGGGTCAGAAGATGCACAATCATATGTGTACAATGAATACAGGTTTGGACTGAGCACACAGCCCTGAGGAGAGCCAGTGCTGAGCTTCAGGAGGAGGATATAAAAGACCCAGTCCTCACTGTTTGTGGCCGGTTCATTAGAAAGTCTTTAATCCAGTCACAGATGGAAGAGGGAAAATTCAAGTCAGTCAGCTTTTCGATAAGGATGCTCGGCAGAACGGTGTTGAAGGTCTATGAAAAGCATTCTGACATAATTTCCTGGTTTCTCTTCTAGGTGACTCACTACGGAATGTAAAGCAGTAGCTATGGCGTCGTCTGTCGAATTATTCCCCCTGTAGGCAAACCGGTACTGGTCAAAATTTGCTGGGAGGCATGACCTAAGGTGTTGAAGAACCAATCTCTCAAAACACTTCATCACTACATACAGACGTGAATGCAATAGGTCTGTAGTCATTCAGGCAGTTAATTGCTGTTTTCTTCGGGACTGGGATAATAGTGGATGCTTTCAAGCATGATGGAACACTGGCTGTTTGCAAGGCCAACTGGGAAGTCACAAACCATGTTTGAGAAATGATAAGGACTAGATTCCTCAAAAACACTTAAAACACTTAAACCAAGTTGAGATTACTGTTGGTCCTTGATTTACAACAGATCGCTTAGTGATCCCAATTGTGCTTTGGGCATTTGGCAACCAGTCTGCATTTATGGCCATTTGCAATGCCCTTCTATCATGAAACTGCAATTTAAGATGTTTTTGTAGAAAATCAGCATTTACTCCCAATTTTTGGCAAAAATGGCCCAGTAAAAAATGGTTCACTTAATGAACCCTGCAAAAAAGGCAACAAAAACAGGTCCGATCATGTGATGACCTACATTATGACGGTCACAACTGATGACCATAATGGGCAGGCTCCATTGGGAGATTGTATGGAGTACCCAAAGTGGGTAAGAGACTGGATGAGTTGCTCTGTGAAGGAGACGGTTTCTAAACTGATAAATAAAAATAAAGACAAGATCCAAAGAAAGTGTGCCCCAAACTCCATCGGGTTATGTGTGCATTGATGGGGCCCATTTTGCATTTGAGAGAGCAGTTTTGCACTCAGCAAGGGATGTTTTGAGACATTCTGTATTTTACACCTTTTGAAAAACCAAGTATACTTTTAAAAAAGATGGTGATTATAACTCATGAAGAGGACTTATCGTCTTCATACCACATAGGAAAAGATGTTCACAAGAAACCGGATCTCCAAAGGATGCCCTTTGAGGAAAACCATAGCATATTTCCTTTCTTCTTGCTGCCAGCCGCCCTTTGTGTATGAATTGTATATTATTATTTTTATTATTTATTTAATTTATATACCACCCTACTTCCGAAGGACTCAGGGCGGTGAACAGCCAAACAGTAACAATACATAGATACAAAATTTAAAAACAAAGTAAAATCGAATTAAACAAATTTGGCCCAAACGTATTAAAACCCCATTAAAATTTACATAATTAAAAAGAGGGAAAAGATTAGGCCAGGCCCGCCTGATGGAATAAAAAGGTCTTAAGAGCGTGGTGGAAGGTGCACAGATCCGGGATCCTCCGTATCTCCGGGGGGAAATTGGTTCCAGATAGTAGGTGCCCCCACAGAGAAGGCTCTCCCCCTAGGGGCCACCAGTCGACATTGTTTGGCCGATGGCACCCGGAGGAGCCTCTCTCTATGAGAGCGTACCGGCCGGTGGGAGGCTATTGGTGGTAGTAGGCGGTCCTGCATACAATATAGTCTAATGCCATGCAATCAAAGTTATGTCTCTGTTGAAGTCTGTGACACGAGGGATTGTTGGCATTTTTTTAAAGAAAAGGACCGTATATCATACCTGTGAGGGTGTTGGGAAAACCGTGTTGGAACAAACTGCATAAGTCTGGATAAAAAACAGAAATAAAAGGAAATTGTATGAGGAAGTATCAAAATGAAGAGTGACTTCTAGGTCAGTGTTTCTCAACCTCAACAATTTTAAAATGTGTGGCCTTCAAACCCCAGAATTCCTCAGCCAGTGAAAAACACTTCTTAGATGGTACAGGTATTGTTTCTTAATGAGCGGTCATTTAGCGACGCTGCAAAGTTATGACAACCACCCCCACCCCCGAAGGTACTTATAACCTGGTTTCTGACAGGAATACAGGCACCTCTAGTCACATGACCACATTTTGGAAACTTGGCAACTGGCTCACTTTTCATCAGTTGCAGTGTTCCATGAACACGTGACTGCAATTTATATTTGCTGGTTTCCAGCCTTTTTGATTGGTTTCTGCTAAAAACACACCCATGGGAGAGGACTCCCTTCATGACTGCATCTTTGACTTTACAAGTAATCTACGCAAGATTAGGTTAAAAGATCCGTCTCCTCTGTGTGTTTGTGTGTGTGTGTGTATGGCTTTTTTTGTCCCCCTCTTATCCCTTCCTTCGATTTCTTTTTTTCTTGGAAACAAAGAAGGTGCAAGGACGACAGGTGGGGTTGTCCCAAAAAGCGAAACCCCAAAATTAAAAGAATGGCTTTTCAAATCCTTAAAAAGTTACGATGCCAACCCTGGACCAGTTATTTCTCTTTTTCCTTTGGGGGAGGGAAAGTTGCCTTCTCCCCCAGGAATGGGATGGGAGGGGAAAGAAGGAAGGAAGGAGATGGGAATGAAAAGGAGAGAAAGAGGAAGCGGGGGAGGGAGGGAGGGATAAAGGAAGGAAGGAGATGGGAATAAAAACGAGAGGAGGAAGGAGAGGGGAAGGGAGGGAGGGAGCAAGGAAGGAAGAAATGGGAATGAGAAGGAGGGAGGGAGGAGATGGGAATAAAAAGGAAAGGAGGAAGGAGAGGGGAAGGGAGGGAGGGGGCAAGGAAGGAAGGAGATGGGAAGGAGAAGGAAGGAAGGAAGATGGGAATAAAAAGGAGTGGAGGAGGAAGGAGAGGGGAGGGAGGAAGGAGATGGGAATGAGAGGGAGGGAGGGAAGCTGGCCATGCCGACCCTGACTCCCACGCCCACCGAAGGTCAACCATAATCCTGATGTGGTCCTCAATGAAATCGAGTTTGACATTCAGTCACTCAGTCTGTCTGTCAGTCTATCTATCATATATCTGTCTGCCTATTATCTATCTATCTATATCTATCTATCTATCTATCTATCTCTATCTACCTACATCTATCTACCTACCTACCTACCTACATCTATCTATCTATCTATCTATCTATCTATCTATCATATATCTGTCTGCCTATTATCTATCTATCTATCTATCTATCTATCTATCTATCTATCTATCTATCAAACCTACCTACCTACATCTATCTACCTACCTACCTACATCTATCTATCTATCATATATCTGTTGCCTATTATCTATCTATCTATCTATCTATCTATCTATCTACCTACCTACCTACATCTATCTACCTACCTACCTACATCTATTATCTATCATATATCTGTCTGCCTATTATCTATCTATCTATCTATCTATCTATCTATCTATCTATCTATCTCTATCTACCTACATCTATCTATCTATCTATCTATCTGTCTGTCTGTCTGTCTGTCTGTCTGTCTATCTATCTCTATCTACCTACATCTATCTATCTATCTATCTATCTATCTATCTATCTATCTATCTACCTACCTACCTACATCTATCTACCTACCTCTACATCTATCTACTACTCTACATCTACCTACCTACCTACTACCTACTACCTCTATCTATCTATCTATCTATCTATCTATCTATCTATCTATCTATCTACCTACCTACCTACCTACTACCTACCTACATCTACTACCTATCTATCTATCTATCTATCTATCTATCTATCTACCTCTACATCTATCTATCTATCTATCTATCTATCTATCTATCTATCTATCTATCTATCTCTACCTACCTACCTATCTATCTATCTATCTATCTATCTATCTATCTATCTACCTACCTACCTACCTACCTACCTACATCTATCTATCTATCTATATCTACCTACATCCATCATCTATCTATCTATCTATCTATCTATCTACTACCTACCTACCTACCTACATCTATCTATCTATCTATCTATCTATCTATCTATCTCTATCTATCTCTATCTACCTACCTACCTACCTACTACTACCTACCTACATCTATCTATCTATCTATCTATCTATCTATCTATCTATCTATCTATCTATCTATCTATCTGGACTGTTTGTCATACCTGTGGGAATGTTGGGAGAATTGGATTGGAACAAACTGGATAGGTCTGGGAAAAAAACAGAAATCAAAGGAAATTGTATGAGCAAATATCAGAATGAAGAGTGACTTCTAGGTCAGTGTTTCTCAATCTGAACAATTTTAAAATGTGTGGCCTTCAACCCCATAGAATTCCTCAGCCAGTGAAAAACGCTTCTTAGATAGTACAGGTAGTGTTGCTTAATGAGCGGTCAGTTAGCGACGCTCCATGTTTATGACAACTGGGGTCAAAAAAATGAAGACAGCGTCTAATGCCATGCAGTCAATGTCATGCCGGACTCAGGGCGGTGTACAGCCAAGATAAAAACCAGCAATATAAAAGTTAAAAACAATTTTAAATTATTAGATAGATTTTTGCAGGAAATTCTAGTTTCCTGCAAAAACATAAATTGTGTTTATATGATTAAGGATGCTGCAAATGGCCACAAATGTAGGCCTATTGTCAAGTGCACAAAACGTGGTTATGTGACCGTAGGTGCAGGAGGAGTGATATACGATGCCAGTCCTTGGCCAGTCATTTCTTTTTTTCTTTTGGGAAAACAAGCAGCAGGTATCTGAGTGGGCCTCCCGGGCTCTTAATAAGGGCCACATTTAAATGCTGAGGGGCAAGGGGAAGTCACCTTCTCCGCCAGGAATGGGACGGGAGGGGGAAGGAAGGAAGGAAGGATGGATGGAAGGAGATGGGAATGAGGAGAGAAAGAGGAAGCGGGGAAGGGAGGAAGGAAATGGGAATAAAAAGGAGAGAAGGAGGAACGAGAGGGGAAGGAGGGAGGACGGAGGAAGGAAGGAGATGGTAATGAGGAGAAAGAGGAAGTGGGGAAGGGAAGGAAGGAAGGAAAATGGGAATAAAAAGGAGAGAAGGAAGAAGGAGAGGGAGAGAGAGAGGAAGGAGATGGGAATGAGAGGGAGGGAGGGAAGCTGGCCATGTTGACCCTGGGTCCCACGGCAATCGAAGGTCAACCATAATCCTGATGTGGTCCTCAATGAAATCGAGTTTGACACCCCTGATCTACAACAATCTTAGAACTTGTTCAGGCCACATACATTTAAGCTAACCAGATCTATCTATCTATCTATCTGTTGTCTGTCTGTACTGTATGTCATACCTGTGGGAATGCTGGGAAAATTGGGTTGGAACAAACTGGATAGGTCTGAAAAAAAAAACAGAAATCAAAGGAAATTGTATGAGGAAGTATCAGAACGAAGAGTGACTTCTAGGTCAGTGTTTCTCAGCCTCAACAATTTTAAGATGTGTTTTAACCCCCAATTTTAACCCCCAGAATTCCTCAGCCAGTGAAAAACGCTTCTTAGATGGTACAGATGGTGTTGCTTAATGAGCAGTCAGTTAGCGACGCTCCACGGTTATGACAACTGGGGTCAAAAAAAATGAAGATAGTGTCTAATGCCATGCAGTCAAAGTTGTGTCTCTGTTGAAGTGCATGTCTGTGACACACATGAGGGATTGTTGGCTTTTTTTTTTTAGTAAAGGACTGTATATCATACCTGTAAGGGTGTTGGGCAAATTGGGTTGCAACAAAGTGGATCCATCTGGAAAAAAATAAAAATCAAAGGAAATTGTATGAGCAAGTATCAGAACAAAGAGCAACTTCTAGTATTTGAGTATTTCTCAATCTCAACAATTTTAAGATGTGCGGCCTTCAACCCCAGAATTCCTCAGCCAGTGAAAAACGCTTCTTAGATTAGGGGCGTCAAACTCAAGGACCAGGGGCCGGATCCAACCCATGGGGTGATTAGATCTGGCCCGCAGGGCTGCCCTGGAAACAGCAAAGAACCAGCCCGCAGTGCCTCTGCCACCGAAAATAGAGCTCGTGAGGGTTTCAATCCGTATATGGCCTTGTTCAATCTATATACATAACCGGAGCCTAAGCCATATATATATATATATCTCCTCTTCTAAGTCAGCATTTAAATAAGCTGTAGAAATATAATGATATATAGAATATTTATATGAAGCTGCTAACGTTATTGCAAGCCTTATTGTCTCGCTTTTCACAGTAGGTGCAAAAATCTCATCATAATACATGTTCTTTCTTTGTGTGAATCCCTGTGCAACTAATCTTGCTTTATATTGTAATTCATTATTATGTAACACTTTCTTTTTGTAAACCCATTTGCACCCTACTGCTTTTTTCTCTTCTGGCAGTCTTATGGGAGTAAACCAGGGGTGAAATGCTCCCGGTTCTGACCAGCCAAGCTCTGACGATCCTAGCTGAGTTCCTTTTAAATGGCTCGTAGCAAAAATCTCTCCCCCTCCCCCCGTCAGCTTGCTTACCTTAGCTGCTGGTCGCAACACTTTGCTGTAATCCCTGCAACTGCAATAGATTGCATCAGCAAGCAACTGAATCTCCCTGCCTACAATCAAGCAGGTAGGGAGCTGTGGACTTCAACTCCCAGAATTCCTCAGCCAGCAAAACAAAGCTGGCTGAGGAATTCTGGGAGTTGAAGTCCACAAGTCTTAAAAGTTGCCAAGGTCGGAGACCCCTGTTCTATTGGGTAAGTTTTTTTCCCCTTTGGGAGCTTTAAAAAAATAGTTAATTGGTTTTTTTTTTAGTTGTTCTTTTTTTAGACCTAGCCATTTAAAGTTTAGGAAGTTTTAAATTTAGCTGCTTTTATATAAAAGTAAAAATAAATTAAAATAAAACAATATTTGTGCAGCTTTGTGAGATTTAGTGTGTTTCTGTAGTGTTTCACTCTAACTACACAAACATACAAAATCTCACAAAGCTGTATGTGGAATTTTGTGTGTGTAAAGTGTGAAAGTTGGTTTTTTGGGCTTTTTGTAGCTGTGTGAGGTTCCTGCTTGTTGCAGGGGCCATTTTGGGTCTAGCACAGCTGCTTTTACATTGTGAGTGAGCCAGTTGTGTTGTGTTGTGTGTGTGTAAAATGTGAAAGTTGGTTTTTTGGGGGGGGCTTTTTGTGGCTGTGTGAGGTTCCTGCTCGTTGCAGGGGCCATTTTGGGTCTAGCACAACTGCTTTTATATTGTGGATGAGCCAGTTGTGTTGTGTTGTGTAGGTTAAAAAAGGGCAAAGAAGTGACATTGACTTGGCCACGCCCACCTTACCAACAAGCCACGCCCTCCCAGTCATCTTACCACCAAGCCACGCCCACAGAACCGGTAGCAAAAAAATTTAGATTTCACCCCTGGAGTAAACACCCGATACACATCCATAGATTTCATTTCCTCATCCATAGCCTCCTTCCAGTTCTTTTATTCTATTTTGGGCAATAACAACATTTCATGATAACTTTGAGGTTCATATCTTACACTGTATGCTCTGACCTACTAGCAGTAAACCTTGCAGGACGTACACCCTTGTTACTCCTGTCTGATCTCCTAGGCATTATATGTTCCTGTGTTCCTGTTTCTGGCCTCTCCTTTTCTATTTCTGTGTCATCTGTACTTTCATGCTTTATCATAATTTCCTGACAGTTAGAACAATTAATAAGTGGAACAACTTGCCTGCAGAAGTTGTGAATGCCCCAACACTGGAAATTTTAAAGAAGATGTTGAATAACCATTTGTCTGAAATGGTGTAGGGTTTCCTGCCTGGGCAGGGGGTTGGACTAGAAGACCTCCAAGGTCCCTTCCAACTCTGTTATTCTATTCTATTCTATTCTATTCTATTCTGTTCTGTTCTGTTCTGTTCTGTTCTGTTCTGTCCTGTCCTGTCCTGTCCTGTCCTATCCAATCTATCTACCTACCTACCTACCTACCTACCTACCTACCTACCTACCTACCTATCTACCTGGACTGTTCGTCATACCTGTGGGAATGTTGGGAAAACCGTGTTGGAACAAACTGCATACGTCTGGAAAAAAAAACAGAAACCAAACAAAATTGTATGAGCAAGTATAAAAACGAAGAGCGACTTCGAGGTCAATGTTTCTCAATCTGAACAATTTTAAAATGTGTGGCCTTCAACCCCAGAATTCCTCAGCCAGTGAAAAACACTTCTTAGATGTTACAGGTAGTGTTGCTTAATAAGCGGTCATTTAGCGACGCTCCAAGGTTATGACAATCACCCCCTCCCCCGATGGTACTTATAACCTGGTTTCTGATAGAGGAATACACACACCTCTAGTCACATGACCACATTTTGGAAACTTGGCAACTGGCTCACTTTTCATCAGTTGCAATGTTCCATGATCACGTGACTGCAATTTGTATTTGTTGGTTTCTAGCCTTTTCGGTTGGTTTCTGCTAAAAACACACCCATGGGAGGGGACTCCCTTTATGACTGCAGTTTGACTTTACAACAGCTCCGTTTGCTTAGAACTGTCACAAAAAAAGCTTGTAGAATTAAACCAGTCACGTAGATGCCTCAAGTTATGACAATCATGACTTACAGACAGAAATTCTTGGCACACATGAGGGTTTGTTGGCATTTTTTTAAGTAAAGGACTGTATATCATACCTGTGAGAGTGTTGGGCAAATTGGGTTGCAACAAAGTGGATCCATCTGGAAAAAAACAGAAATCAAAGAAAATTGTATGAGAAAATACAATTTGTTTCTCAACAAATTTCAGTGTTTCTCAACCTCAACAATTTTAAGATGTGTGGCCTTCCACCCCCAGAATTCCTCAGCTAGTGAGAAACTCTTCTTAGATCAGGGGCGTCAAACTCAAGGACCGGGGACCAGATCCAGCCCATGGGGTGATTAGATCTGGCCCACAGGGCTGCTCTGGAAACAGCAAAGAACCAGCCCGCAGTGCCTCTGCCAGCGAAAATGGAGCTTGTGAGGGCTGTGTGTGGCCCTCCCGAGAACCGTTTTCTCTGGCAGTGGGTCGCAGGAGGCCATCCCAGACAGAAACAGAGCTTGCGAGGGTTGCATGAGGACGTCCCCGAGCTCTGTTTTTGTTAGTAGAGGGTTTCAGGAGGCTGTCGCAGCCGAAAATGGAGCCTGGGAGACTGTTTTCGCTGGTAGAGTACTAGGGCCACCAGAGGCAACCCCACAACATGAGTGACATGCTGGCTACACTGACCCTGCCCACATCCACCCCGGGCACCTGAGGTCAAACACAACCCTGATGTGGCCCTCAACAAAATCGAGTTTGATACACATCTTAGATAGTACAGGTAGTGTTGCTTAATGAGCAGTCATTTAGCGGCTGTCCAGGGTTATGACAAGCCCCCCTCCCAATGTACTTGTAACCTGGTTTCTGACAGGAATACAGACACCTCTAGTCACATGACCACATTTTGGAAACTTGGCAACTGGCTCACTTTTCATCAGTTGCAGTGTTCCATGATCATGTGACTGCAATTTATTTTTGCTAGTTTTGGTTGGTTTCTGCTAAAAACACACCCATGGGAAGGGATTCCCTTTATGACTGCAGCTTTGACTTTACAACTATTGCGTTTGCTTTGCAACTATCACAAAAAAAGCTCGTAAAATCAAGCCAGTCACGTGAATGCCTCAACTTATGACAATCATGACTTACAGACAGAAATTCTAGGCTCCATTACAGTTGTAAGTGAAGGACTACCGGATAATACAAAAATGTGGTGCTTGTGAAGTTTAGCAATCTCGCTAAACTTGAAAAGATGGAGAGGTGTGATAGGTTCTCCACTGCCACTGGTCTTGCCAGAGCACCCAATGGGTTCAAAAAAATCAAGATGGCGTCTAATGCCATGCAATCCAAGTTGTGTCTCTGTTGAAGTGCATGATGTCTGTGACACACATGAGGGATTGTTGGCATTTTTTTTTAGTAAAGGATCGTATATCATACCTGTGAGAATGTTGAGCAAATTTGATTGCAAGAAAATGGATCGGACTGGAAAAAAACAGAAATCAAAGGAAATTGTATGAGCAAGTATCAGAACAAAGAGCTACTTCTAGGTCAGTGTTTCTCAACCTCAACAATTTTAAGATGTGTGGAGAGGAGGCGGGCCCAGCTGTTAAGGAGGAAAGCTGTGGAAAGCTCTGTTATAGAAAGTCATTTTTCCAGCGAATTCCAACTGATCGGTGGACTTTGTGGAGTCCTAGTTCCCTTGGAGGGGGATTGGAAGAAAGAGGCGCTCTGTGGTGTGGCTCTCGGCAGCAGTCGAGAAAGCGAGTGGCAGAAAAGCCTCGGAAGTCAAAAAGTCAAAAATCAAAGTTGTCAAAGCTGTGCCACATGTGCAGCCATGAAGAAGTGAACAGGGAAGCCCCCAAGTCTGCTCCAACAAGTGGCAGACCCATCCCACCTGTGAGAGGAGATAGCAATGGATTTTATCATAGAGCTCCCGAACAGTGGGGGGAATATGGTCATTGGAACAGTAATAGACCTGCTCTCCAAACAAGCCCACTTTATAGCTTGCTCAGGTCTGCCATCAAACTAACTAACAAACTAACAAAAATATTTGTAAAACATATCTAAAGACTACTCCACGAAATACTTAAGGCTAAAACTCCCCTGCAAGAAACTGGGACCAAAACTCATAGGACTGTTCCCAATAGTGAAAGTGACTAATCCAGTTACATTACAGCTGAAGCTTCCCCTCCTACTAGGGACCGTGCATCCAGTTTTCCACAGCAGCTTGCTGAAGCCAGCTGTAGAGTCTCAACTAAGACCAGTAGACCAGCCAGTCCTCAAGCCAATCATAGTGCAAGGAGAGACACATTACGAAGTGAAGAAAATTTTAGTCTCAAGGTTATACAAAGGGAGGCTACAGTACTTAGTACAGTGGAAAGGATATCCCCTCTCAGAAGCCATAAGGGTAAGCTTCCGGTTGACGTCACAGCGGGAACGGCTGGAGAATAGCGGAGCTCTGCCGGGTTTTGTGAAATGCAGCCAGCAACTGCTTGCCCAGAGATCCTAAGGGATCAAGCCACCCTGGAGGGCTGGTGAAGAAAAGAGAGGTGCTTCATTGATCACGAGGAAACCACAATTTCCTCATTGATCCAAAGAAAGTTCTCCTGAACAGCAGCAAGGACAATGGCCATTTTGGGCAGTCAGAAGGTGGGATAATCAGGATACTAAGATCTTGTACTGAAGCGATGCGTGGACTTAGCAGTGAAACTCTAACCCCTCTGACTGGTTGACAATCAACTATTTTTTTATTTTTATACTCTGTTAAATGCTGGAATTGGAAGCAGGGGAGCCATCTACTGGAGGACGAAGATTACTGCAACATGTGAAATTAAAAGAAAAGTGATGAAAGGAGAGAAAGTAAACAACACCTGGAAGGCTATTTGACCTTGACTTTATCTTAGTAGGTGACTTGGATGCTTGGAAATATTTAGTGAGCTTTTTGAAGAGCCACAAGACAAACTAAATTAAATACTAAAACTTTATTGAAACTGTGCATTGAAAAGTGGATTTGAAAGATTTGAGGGGACCTGGTGGGCCAGGTTGGATTTGGGTTATTAACATTACATGACAGATCATTCTACGAAGCAAAAGAAGAAAAGCAATAGAAGGGAAAAGAAAAAAGAAAAAGAAGAAAAGATAAATAAGACTTTAAAATCTGGACAATTGGGAAGGTCTAAACTGGAAATTATAAAGACTGTAAAGCATAAATGTATAGATTTTAAGGACTAGAAATTTAAGGAACTTGAAGGAATAATTTTGGGATTGACAAAATTTTTATTAAAAATTGACTTTTTTGGAGTTTTTAGATATTGGGATAATGGTATATTAGAGGAATATTGAGTAATTTTTAATATATTAATTTGGTACAAAATGATCCAGCAGGAGACAATAAAGTTCTATGAAGAAATGTTAGTTAAAAGTATTTACAAAAATGTGACAAAAAAATCATAAGGAGATTGGAGATTAAATATTCATGGGAATATTTAAAGATGAAGGACCTGCACTACCATGCATATTAAGGGCTGAAGGGCCGAAATAAAATCAATGTTAATCTGAGTGTTGAAATTGTGACCTTTAAGTATATCAGATTGGTGTTTTGCAGCCCTGGCAGGTGCTTAGCTTGCAAAATGTTGTAGGCAAGGAGGAAGTGTATGCTTAAAGTGCATGTAAAAATAACCATGTTGTAACATTTAGGTTGGAGGAATGGACAACTGGTCCTGTTACTATGACAAGCTGTCAGAATCCTGAAAGTCATGTGATTTTGTGGTTTTAAGGTATATAATGAAATATTGAAGTTAAGAATTTTGCAGAGAGACACAAAAAAGAATGTTGATGGAAAGAATTAATATACAGATAGTTTAAAAAGTGAAGTATTTAGGAATACAACAGCAAAATGTGCAACAATCAAAGAGGATAATTATATGAAACTGATGAGGCAAATTAAACAAGATCTGGAGAAATGGAAAGACTTACAATTGAATACTATACTTGTTTCAAATAAGTACCAATAAAGCTGGACAAAAAAATACGTTGAAGAATTAAATAAAATAATATTAAGATTTGTTTGATTGGGAAAGAAAGCAAGAATAGGTTTGAAAATGTTGCAAGAAACCAAAAAAAAAAGAGGGGGTTTTGGATTACCAGATTGGGAATTGTACTACCAGGCCTCGGTACTCACATGGGTGAAAAAATGGATTAGCTTGAGACATATAAGATTATTAACATTAGAAGGGCTTGATCTTCAACTATACATTTTATGGTATGGGAAGAATAAGATACGTAGTTATTTCCAGAGACACGATGTTAGGAATGCACTATTATCAGTCTGGTTTAAAATAAAAGAACAACATTATTTGAAAATACCAATCTGGCTTTCCGCTGTGGAAGCACTGGTACATCCTAATGTTATTAATATAGAAAAAAATGTAAGATACAAAGACATTTTGAATGATAAAGGAGAACTAAGGGATAGATATCTCATGGTGGCCACATGCAGCTACAATCTCATTATGAAAAAGATGCTAAAATGTACCACTGTAATAAAGAGTTAACAGAGTTAGACCACATATTAACTGGAACAGATGATAAATTGATAAAGAAATTATATTGTTATATATCTATATATATATAAAAGCGAAATACCATTCATGCATCATCACAAAATCTCCAGAACCGTAAAGCCTAGAAACTTGATATTTGCCATGTATGCTCCTCTTGGCTTCTAAGAAAGGATTTTTTGAAATGACATCAGAGCATTAGTATTTCCTATATTATTATTAACATGCTCTGATGCTAAGGAGTTCTCCTCCCCCTCCCCACCTGAAAAGAAATCTGTTCCAAATGCAAAACACAAGCATAGGAGAGGAGTTTCAGTTTCAGTTTTACTTTCAAAGCAGCAAGAAAAGGGATAGGATAGGGGAGGCTTCTGTGGAGCAAGGCTGAGGGTGAGAAGGGGATAGGATAGGGGAGGCTTCTGTGGGGCAAGCCTGAGGGAGAGAAGGGGAGAGGATAGGGGAGGCTTCTGTGGGGCAAGCCTGAGGGAGAGAAGGGGATAGGATAGAACACATTTCTGTGGGGCAAGCCTGAGGGAGAGAAGGGGAGAGGAGAGGCCGATCATAACTATTCATTAATTTTCAAGCTGTAAGTGTCGATTTTTCAAGCCTGATCACATAGTTTTGTAGCGAAGCACGGGTATTCAGCTAGTTAAGTATAAATGATTGCCCGGGCTAAAAACTTTCGCTATGCAATAGAATTAGATAAATGGCAGAAACTATGGGACAGAAATGTTAAACTGACTATGTCAACTGCATATAAAGAAAATCTGTATAAAATGTTTTATAGATGGTGTTTCGCACCAGCAAGATTGATTAAAATGTATAAAGATAGATCTGCTAAATGTTGGAAGTGTAATCAATCATTGGGCTCATACTGTCATATGTGGTGGACTTAAATATTTTTTGATGTGGGATGTATTTTATCAATGGTTAGACAATAGAAACCGAAGTTAGAAAGGAGCTAAAATGTTAATGTGGAGAGAATTCAAAGATGATGAAGTTATGTATTATTGCTATTATACTACCGTGTTTCCCCAAAAATAAGACAGGGTCTTATTTTCTTTTGATCCCCAAAATATGACCTTGGCCTTATTATTGGGGGGGGTCTTATTATTTTTGAGGTGCAGGAGGCCCCTAAACATCGGCCAGCTGCAGGGGGACTGGTGCCGGAGTGCCGACCAGTTGCTTCGCTGGTGCCGTTCAGGCCGCTGCCTCCAGCAATCGTGGCAGCTTTTAATTTGCTTCCCTTGCAAACAGCACGAGGTGAGGAGGTGGGGGGGCGAACAGTGGGGGAACATGCCCCATGCGTACCTGCCATACACCTGGAACGGCCTCGCAGAGGCCCCTCCCGCAAACCGTAGCTTGCGCACCCCTTCTCTTAGTGGCGGCCACAAAGAGCGGCCGCAAACAAACTCTTGCCAGCCCTAGCCCTGTCAACCTAGGGGGAGGGGTACTGGCACCAGAGCTCTGAGCAATAGCCGGTATGGGCTGTCTGCGCAGCCATGAAGTGGGATTGGCATGGCCGGTTCTTGCCCGCAGCATTGCCGGTGAGGATCAGGTCAGAGCCGCTGCCGCCCAAGATCAGGAGGCCAGATTCGGTGAGCCGGACATACCGCTGCCACTCAGGAAAAGAAAGAGGAGGCACTGCGAGAGAGCCCATTTCTGACGTTCTTCTCCTCTTGGGCGGCAGCAGCGTGTTCAGCTCCCCGAATCAGGCTTGCCGATCTAGGCCGGCGAGGGAGAGTAGTAGGTGGGGAGGCGGAGAAGCGAGACACATGGAGTGCCATCTCTTCTCCCCTCCCTCACCAGCCATGGTAGGAGCTGGAAATCAGGTAAGAAGTGAGACACAATCCAAAGTACTTCATTGTAATACACCATTCCCCTCTCCTGTATACAAACCCCAACCTAAGTGGCAAGCTAAAAATGAAAATAAAAAACCTGAATGTTTTAGGCAACAGCTCACCCAAAGGAGAAGCTGCTATCCGTTTGAGTTTCTGAGCCCACCAAGTGCTGGAATTTATTGCAGCGAGTAAAAACAGACAGCTGACATAAAATTCCAGCAGGTTCTAACCAGTAAAATTATTTATCAAGCTAACAAGGGAAGTACTTTTTCATGTAACAATAGCTCAATGTGGGGAAGGCATGCCTTTATATTTTACCTTTGGGTTGAAGCCCCGTTTCGTTCCATGCCTCTTGCTTCTCCGCCTCCCCACCCCTTCCAAAATCAGGCTTGCCGATGTCAGCCAGCAAGGGGGAGTGGCGGGGGGGGGAGTCGGAGAAGCAAGAGGCATGGAACGAGATGGGGCTTCAAGTCCTTCCCTTGTTAGCTTGATAAATAAATGCTGTTTACATGGCAGTTGCACATGCATCTAAGTATTTGGGGAGGGCTCATTTTCGGGGGGGGGGCTTATTATAGTGCATGTGCTCGAAAGCCCAATTGGGCTTATTATCTGGACATGTCTTATTTTCGGGGAAACACGGTATTATATAGTTATATTATTAATATTGTGATGAATATAACAACAAATTGTGGACCTTGACTGTTCAAATAACTGTACCCAGATCACACACAGTTTGAGGGAAATGGAAAATAATATAAATAAAACAAATAAAACTTTTATTTAAAAAATGAAATATTGATTAATGGGACATTGCCAATCCACCTCAAGCAATCCCTTTTGATGCTTATCTGACTGACCCTCATTTCAATGTGATTAATATAAGTGCTCTCTGTTTGCTATGCTTTAAATTCTAATAAACCTCTGAATCCTAAAGTGAGACTTCTGTGGTGTGCTCTCTGTTCAATTGTTATTAAGTGCAGCTATGCCCAATGATCTGTTTTTTCCCCCCAACACTGTGTGTTTTCACTTTTATATATTGGACATATATATTATACCTAGTTGTAAACTTGGAATAAGAATGATTTTCTTATATAATTCTAACTCTATTTTGATGTCCAATTTGGGTTTTTTTATCTGATGTTTCCATGCTTTTATTTTGATTAGGAGTTAAGAAATTATTTTTACTACATATTTACATCTGTACTGCAGAAAGTTCCGAATAAATCTATTTTGTCACTTTTTAACTTTCCCCCCTTTTTGATCCCCTTTCCCTCATTTTTTTTTTCTTTTGGTTATTTTGTATTTCAAGTATTTCATCTCCCTTTGAAACTTAATATTACATTTTAAAAAACTGCTTGTGCAGGGGGTTGGATCAGAAGACCTCCAAGATCCCTTCCAACTGTGTTATTCTGTCAAATAAGGAGTGAACCTCGTCCTTAAAAAGCCACATAAGCTGACCTTGGCTCAATCACAGTTATTGAGCCACAGTTATGGAAGCGCACCAGGGGAACAGCCCGCCACAAGATACTGAATTATAGGATGCCTGGCGTTGTAAAGTGAAGTGGGTGGGTGGGAATCCCGTTCCGTCCCTTCCCTTCTTAAGCAAACCCAACTTACCATATTCAGCAGCTGGCAGTGGAATCCGAGAAAGAAAAGGAAATTCCGGCAAGTTTGTCTAGTTTGGCGAGAGGACTTTTTCCTCCCAACTTAAGGGAAAGAGATCTTCGCACATGCAGGTTCGCGCTTAAATGGAGCAGAGCGGAGCCACGAAGGGGTCGGGGAGGTCAAAGAAAGGGGCGGAGCCTTTCTGGAGATGGAGGGGGCAGAGGGAGGAGATAAATTGGGAGGGGGGGGTCAGTGCTGCTCCCTAAAAGGCGGGAGTGGCTTGAATATGAGGGGGTGGGATGCTGGTCAGGCGCTCTGCTTGCCCCCATTCCTTACGCCCCCTCGATTTTCCACCCACTCTCTGGTTTTTCCCTATCGCTAGTCACGGAGGTGGGTTAGAAGTAGGTTATGGGTCAATTTAAAGTAGAATTGCAACATGCCAATAAGGTCATACCCATGATCGGGGTCATGGGACCGGAATTGAAATATTGCGGGGATTCACACGACAGGGACGAACCTGCAGCTAATTGCTTTCCAAAGTCAGCCTATTTTGGGGGGAAGGGGGAATCTCCCAAGCCAGAACCTTCCAGTGTGATCAAAAAGCAGACTACAATCTCCATAATCCTTAGCCATTTGTCCTGAATGGTATAAGGTCTCCTGCTCAAGAGGGTGGGGGGCGGAGGCTGGGCTAGAGAAGACCGTCAAAGCCCCTTCCAATTCTCTTATTCTGGATTCTGCTCCTGGGACAAAGCATCTGGTGATACTTCAGCGACCTCAGGTATGACCACATGAAAAGAAAAAAAAATCAACTTGATTTTGACAGGAGTCAGTAGAAGAGGCGGTGGAGCAAGTAAATCCTCCTGTCTCCTTACCTATCATTAACCGCACATTCTGTTTTTGCAAGATCCTGGTGGATAATCTTTGGCTTATTATCACTTTCTTATTTTTAGGCTGGAGGGGCTGAGCAGGGATCCCCTTTCCTGCCTCTCTACTTCCCTTTGCTTGGAACAGGGCTGATCTCTGCTCAAGCACTTGATAATGAAACCGCTCCATCCTTTCCCCCCTCCCCTTTCCCCAGCTTCATACCTCCGTGCCTGCAGCTGTTGCTTTGCAAAAACGCTGGTAATCCACCCTACTCTTTTTCCAGAAATGCCCACTGACAAATCTTCCCAGAAATGATCCAGCAGCATGGAAGGGAGAATAAGAATTAGACCCATCAGCAAACCAGGGTGTTCATTTTTTTTCTTTCAATATATATTTAATTATATTGGCATTTTCATAAATTGGACCTGTTGCTCATGATTTTTTTCCAGAAGTTTTGAACCCCCTTTTATTACCTTTGTCAATAACTCAAGGTGGCCAACAGGATCTAATAGCCCTTCCTCCTCTGATTTTGTTTGAAAAAAGGTGCCACGTTCTAAACCTTCACTAGCTACAAAATGCCAACTCAGAGCCTGGTCTAGCAAAGTTAGAACATCAAACACCAAACAGAATAATAGATTGGAAGGGATCTTGAAGGTCTTCTAGTCCAGGCCCCCCCCCCCCCCCCCCGGTCCACATGCATGCCAGAAACCTGCCAGAAATGGGAACCTTTACCTTTATGAATGCTGCTGGTTTGAACAATTTGTGTTTTATTTTTTTTTTATTTTTTTAAAAACAATCTTTATTAAGCATAAAAAGATAAAATATCACATTAACTACATACATTATAAAATATGAAATAAAGAAAGATAAAAGAACAATAAGAACAGAAAGGAAAAAGAGAGACATAAAAAAGGGAGAGACACACAAAAGAAAGAGAAGAAACAACAAAAAAAGAAAAAATACACACAGTATAATAATATTATGTATATAGTATATATATACTGTATATATATTGTAGCTTGTATTACACTTTGTGTTTTAATTGAGTCCTTCCATCCAGGCCTCCATTTAAAATTCCACAGGAATTATACTAAAACAATTCCACCGGTTCTTAACTTTCCTTGTTTTGTTTTTACAGAGGCAGAAAGGATACAAAGAGGACCTATTTGAAGCAACGGTTCCAAAAGAGAAGCAAAGAACCATGGAAGAAATAAAAACTGAAGGACCCATAAAAGTCTTACAGTCTCAAGACCAGCTAAAACTTTAACCGTAACTTCCTACCCAGAGGCCTTCCTTAGCCTCAACGGGGGTCCCCAAATGTTGCTTTTACAGCAGCGTCTGCCAACTGGACCAGATAAGCAGAATTTGCACCACAAAACCAAATGCATGTACTTTGGGTTTTGGATAAAACAGTACAGACTGTACTACCGTGTTTCCCCGAAAATAAGACCCTGTCTTATATTTTTTTGAACCCCGAAATAAGTGCTTGGCCTTATTTTCCGGGAGGTCTTATTATTTTGGGGCATGTGGAGCAAGATGGGGCTCCTCTTGCAGTCTTACCTGATTTCCAGCTCCGCATTTAAATATTTTCGTGGCGGGCTTATTTTTGGGGGCGGCATATTTTAGCACATGCGCTCAAAAGTCCAATTGAGCTTATTATCAGGGGATGTTTTATTTTTGAGGAAACAGGGTATGTTATTTAATTATATTTAATTCTTTTAGACTATGTCTATTTTATTGGAACTTTTGTAGTGACCAGTCTTTATTATATTATTATTTAAATTCCATTCTTGGACAAAGGGGGCAGCTTTTATGGGCTGTTTTCACCCCTGCTTTTGTATGTTCAGAAGAGGAACGGCTAACCTCATTTAAATTTCCATTCTCTGTCGTGTTCTGAGTTCTGCATCTGGTGTCAAAGCTAGGTTGCTGAGGAACCAACTCCCAATTTTTAATTGATTCACATCTGGATAAATTTGGAGCTTCTTTTGACAAAATGGGTATCACCTCCATACATTGGGCTGTTTTTCATGGACCAGCTTTTTCCATCTAAGCAATTCACAAAGTTGCTGGGCTACAGTTCTTTGATGTCAGAGGAGCACTCGACTATATCCATCCATCCATCCATCCATCCAAATGTGTTATAGCTGCCCAACTCCAATACAGTCTTTGTAGGTAGAATAGTGAGTGAATGCTACAGATTATGGCTCTCCCAATCACACAAGGATCATTCTAGTTGCTTTCCCCAGAAGCTATCATGCATAGCACACTGAGGTGACTAGGCTAAGCTGCTGGTCTCACACGGGGGTCATATGGTGAAGAAGACACTTTCTGAAAATGTGTGATTTGGAACCACTTTGTGAGGAAGCAAAAGGTACAAATGGCACAGAAATGGCCATTCTCTGCTCATTTGCTACTGTAATGAGGGCTGAGAAGTGGTCTTCCTCCTTTTCAAAACTACACAAAGACAGAGATTATTATTTTGTAAGCTGTTTTTCAGCAAACGAAGTGCTTGTTAAATACTCTGACATCAGCCAAATGAACTGAGCACTTATCTGTCAGGAATCTTATTGGCACTTGTCCCGTGGAAGTTCTTTTCCATTTACTTAAATTCTAGAGACCAAAGCCGCAAAAAGGAAGGATGAAATCCTGAAATTTCCATGGTGTCTAATTTGGAATCGGATTGTCAGTTTACCACACGTGAGTCAGCAAACAAAACTAGATATGAACAAAACGAATTCATATGATTCTTAAACATTGAAAAGAGCATTTATTCAAACTTTAAGTAGTAAAGCTCAACATTTTACATCAATTGCGCATCCATCCAAAAATGGACAACTTTAAGATTGGATGTTGCCTTCCTGCCAGGATTAACCCCTTAAGGTGGGAAAGACAAAAGGCTGTTGGAAGGAGGTTTCTTCCAACAGCCGGTTCACCGAACTGCTCAGAAAGTTAACTACCAGTTCTCCCAAACTGGTGTGAACCGGCTGAATCCCACCACTGCATCTATCCAAAAATGGACCTCTATTGGCGACCCTTAAGCCTGGATGTTGGCCAATGTTATGTCACCATCCACTTCAAGCAGATTTATCTGAGGCAGGTTATGCATGCGATGGTTGTATGCAAACTGATGCTGTCCATTCACAGCCACCTTGAAGCAGTGTCCTTCACACTGAATCCAGATCTATGAAAAGAAAATGCACATTTGTGATCGCTTTAATGGAACCCGATAATACAACCTGGATCTTTACATTTTTATTTTGCCTATTAACATCACAAATTACCCATTTCCCAGACAGCCAAGCAGCAAAGCTGTTTCACAGAAGCCCCTGCAAAATTTGATGATGGCCTCAAAGTCACTAAATGATGAGTATCCAGAATAACTAAAAGTAACTTTGATACAGATTTTAATTCAGTTCTGAGATTTTAACCTAGTACATGGATTGGTACTGCACCCCAAATTTGGATTTATCTTAGAATCATATTTCAATTTTACAAATTTAAATCCGAATAAATGCTTAGTAATAAGGATGAAATATATACATTGTATTATACTATATTATTTATACATTATATTATTAGTAATATAATATAATGTATTGTTTTATTTGGCGATTTATATTGTGCTAACCATGATTCTGATATTTATTACTAGTTCAGGTTTAACAGTGATTTTAGTTGGTGACTGAATTGTGAAATAGCGATTTGCTGTACGGCCACTGTAAAAGTCGTTGTAAAATCAGATCTGGTAACTGGATGACTTGGCTTACAACCGCACCAACTTATGACCAAAAATCCAGTCCTAATTTTGATTGTAAGCAGTGTAGCTTTTAAAAGAGTGTTATTGTATGGGTAAACCAAGGATCCTGAAATCCATGCATTAGGCTAGCCTGATAAATGCAAATTTAAGTGAGTTCACACAATCATCTGGCACAGGTGGAGCAACCAAACTGCTTTGACTTACGGTAAAGGGTTGGCCACGCAACAGAGGCATCCCACAGGGCAGGTGTCGCTCCTCTGAGCCCCAGTTCACGAACTTAGAGTTTCGAACAATCACGTTCTCATCAAACCGTGGGTTGAGATGGAAAGCAGTATCGTACCCCGCTTTCAGATTGATGTGGAACCTACATGAAAAGACCCAAATGTTGAGCTGCACAATTAGCAGGAAACTATCCACATCCAGAAACTACACAATGGACATTCCAACTTCTGAAGATACTATATTGCTGATTCAAAAGCCATTATTAATCTCAAAGGCCTGTGAACCTGGTGAGCAAGAATCTTTTTGCCAAACAGATTCTCTTTTTTAAGGGTTTCATCAAGAGATCTCCACTTCTGGAAAAAAGGGGGTCACTCGATAGATGATAGATAGAAAGATAGTTACTAGTAGATACAGATACAGAGATGGATAGAGATAGATGATAGATAGATGATAGATAGATAGATAGATAGATTAGATAGATGATAGATAATATAGATAGATGATAGATACAGATAGATGATAGATAGATAGATGATAGATAAGATAGATAATATAGATGATATCTATCTATCATAGATAATAGATAGAAGATAGATAATAGATAGAAACTAGATACTAGTAGATACAGATAGAGATGGATAGAGATAGATGGATAGGTAAATATAGATAGATGATAGATACAGATAGATAGATGATAGATAGATAAGATAGATAGATAATATAGATGATAGATAGTTACAGATGGATGATAGCTAAGATAGATAGATAGATGATCGATAGATAATATAGATAGATGATAGATAAGATAGATAGATGGTAGATAATATAGATAAATGATAGATGATAAAGATAAATGATAGATAAGAGATAGAGATAGATACAGAGAGAGAGATAGACAGACAGACAGACAGACATTACATAGATGATAAGACAGAGACAGGCAGGCAGGCAGACACATAGAGGATCATACCCCATCATGCATGGAGGATGACTAGTAATGATAGGTAAGAGCTCTGAACCATGAGCATAGGTGACAGGTCTGTTCATTCTGTCACCCAACTGGCTGTGCTTCCCAGTTGGCCAACTTTGTTCCTGGAAGGAATATTTAAGAAGTATCGCCAGGGTCACTCTAGGCACGCTGATGTTTGTTTGCGGTATCCCTTTATCACCTGTTGATGGAGCCTTGCTTCATTTTTCCCCCCCAATTTTTTTTTATTTACTTACTTTTTATGGCTAAAGATAAAATACAAAACACAGAAAAGGGTGGAGCCTCGCTTTACATTCTGATAAATCTTATAAGCCGCCCAGTGCTATAGTACAGTAGTGAGATGGGTGGGCAAATACATTTAATAATAAAATAAATGCAATAGTAAATTACAGCCTTGTGGCATTCTGGATTGAAAGGGAAAAGGTGCTTCACAGGTCCCATCTGCAACTTCTTAAAATTGCAGCATCTTTTCTAGAAGTCAGCATGATCCAGGAAGAAAAAAATGCAGGCTGTTTCAGAAGTTACTGACAAGTGCAAAATGAGTGCCCTCGTGGGCCACAAAACACCATTTTCCCCTTTGAATTCAAAGTGCTGCACAAATATATTACCTTCAGTCACTGCACCTACGTCACAATCAATTGGTTAGACTTTAAAATGTCTCAAGGGTTTTTCTTACGCTGATGTACTTTATAGACATTTCAGGTTTATACAGGTAGTCCTCAACTTATGACCACAATGGAGCCCAACATCTTTGTTGTTAAGTGAGAAAATTTGTTAAGTGAGTTTGGCCTCTTTTAATGACCTTTCTTACCACAGTTGTTTAGTGAATCTGGGCTTCCTCATTGACTTTGCTTGTCAGAAGGTCGCAAAAGTGAATCGCATGACCCCAGGATGCTGCAACCGTCATAAATATGAACCAAATATGAACTATTGCCAAGCCTCTGAATTTTGATCACGTGACCATGAAGATACTGCAACGGTTGTAAGTTTGAAAAACGGTCATAAGTCATTTTTTCCGGTACCGTTGTAACTTTGAATGATCACTAAATGAACTGTTGTAAGTCGAGGACTACCTGTACTAATAGCCTGGTAGATGATACCACTTGCATTAGACAGTCGTCTCAACAGTGCTTTTCCAAAAGGCAACTGACTATTTTGAACTGTGCAGCCCAAAACCATTCAATTGAAAAGAATTCTGAATAAATGAATCCGGAATAAAATTGTGTGGAAGGAAGTTTTACCAACAATATTTCTTAGTCTTTACCTCTGAGCAGAAGGGGACACAGAGCCTGAGACTATTATTGATTTGGATGGGAAAAGGCCCCCATAGATGGTAGCTCGGTAAGGGAGAGGCTGTGGAGAGGACACACACACAAAAACAATATTAGATTTAATCTGCCTTTCCCCCCCATTTTGTACCTTCAAATAATCAATCAGAGATAGCAATAGCACTTAGTCTTATATACCGCTTCACCGTGTTTTATAGCCCTCTCTAAGCGGATTACACAGTCAGCCTACTGCCCTCAACAATCTGGGTCCTCATTTTTACCGACCTCAGAAAGATGGAAGGTTGAGTCAACCTTGAGTCGGCCAGGATCGAACTGCCAAACTGTAGGCAGTCAGCACAAGTAGCCTGCAGTACTGCATTCTAACCACTATGCCACAAAGGCCGATTGTATACGGGGGTTCAGTGGAGTAAGTCTGAAAAAATCAAAATGTCTGAGGCCACCACATAATCAAATCCCTGCTCTTTTTAATGTGGATGCTCATTCACATAAAAAGAGGACTGGGCTTCTATTGCCATGCTGACTGTTATGACCTCCTCCTGGGGACATCTTGGATTATCCACCTAAGCGTAGATTTTTCCCCTGAGAAAGTACCAATGGTCCTTCCTGGTCATAATTGTAAATGTCCACTATTGGCCTTGGCCTCTGGCATCATTCAGGTTTTTTCCAAAGCACTAAGGCTGTACCATGATTCACCGCTGACCTCTTAAGATTTTTTTTCAAAAAGTTTTCTGGCCCAAGCCATTCAGATTTCCCACAATGCCCAAGGAACCTAGTTCAATCTGGTGCACTGTGAGAAATTCCAATGATGCTCAAGCCCAACCCACAGCACTGATTCCTTCCTATTGCAGCTCTTATTAGAAAAGATTATTAAAGTTGGGTTCATACTGGTTCATTTTATTAGATATCTTAGATTTATGCCTTCCTGGTCTTCTGGAGCCTCAGGGGGCATATATAACACTCCCTCCCTCCATTATCTTTGCATAACAATGACACAATGAGGCTGGTTGAGCTGTGAGAGAACAGCACGCCCAAAGCCCCCCATGGCAGATGGGGGGCTTTGAAGCGGAGTCCAACGTCTAATTGCCCACATTTGCTCTCCCACATGCTTAATCCTTAAGACATGTTAAGAACTCCTAGTTGCTGAGTTCCCATATCAGGCACAACCTACACTAAATCAACAACATTATGGCTGAATGTGATTGTCAGGACTGCCATCATTTGCTTGAGTTTCACTTTCGCTGTCAGTCTGAGGGCGGGAGTCGAAGGGGAGGAGGTTGAATGCTTGGGAGAAAGTGAAACTAATGAAGCCAACTACTCATCCTACCACCCAGAGACACCAACTCAAGGTCAAAACTCTGGGAATGGAATGCAATGACTCACCAACCCACCTGCTGTTGAAGCAACTGTTCCCAAAACTATTTATTCAAAACATACTTGGACAATAAGGGACAAGGGAAGGAGAGGAATTGGATGAGGAAAGTTAACCAGGGAATTCTGGCGTGCGAACTTTAGTTCTGGGTTTTGCTACACTTGTAATCCACTTGGCTTTTAGTAACATATACCTTTTATTACAAATGGAGTCGAGGGTCTTTCTTGACTAAAGAACCAAGTCGGGGCAGGACTGACAGTGATGGTCTGATTCACATAATGGGCAACATGGTGACTGGGTTCCCATGCTTTTAGAGGATCCCTACCTGAGTAGTATCAGATCCCTAAACATGTGGGACTTTGACTCTCATAATTAGGGTTGAAATCCTTCATAACTGATGGGCCAGAAAAAAACGACAAGTGCAAATATTGCTAATATGATAAAGAGCCTTGATAGTACAGTGGTCTACGCACCCTGTTATTAACACAGCTGCCTGCAATTTACTGCTGATTCGAATTTCTCCAAGGCTCAAGGTTGACTCAGCCTTCCATCCTTTCTAAGGTAGGTAAAATGAGGACCCAGATTGTGGGGGCAATAAGCTGACTTTGTATAAATATACAAAAGTATGAAGGCTATTGCTTAACGCATTGTAAGCCGCCCTGAGTCTCCGGAGAAGGGCGGCATATAAATCAAATTTAAAAAAAAAAAGACTTACATAAATTTGTGGCTGAATGCATTGTCCAATGGGATAGGCACTTGGCTATGAAGAAAAAAAGAATAGCAGTCAGGATTTTACATGAGGAGGTTTTAGATTTTTTTAAAAAATATTCCAAATGGATTAGTTTTTATGGGTTAGTTTTTAATTGTATAGCTTTGGGGTTTTAAATTGGGGGCCAATTGATTTAATGTATTTTAGCCATCTTAACTTTTATATTGTATGTATTTTAATTTCGGCTGTTCACCGCCCTGAGTCCCCAGGGGGAGAAGGGCGGTATATAAATTCAAATATAAATAAATAAATAAATAAAATAAAAATATACACATAAGCCAAACATTTATCAAAAAGCTTGGGAATCCAACAATTCTTTAAAGCAGGACTGATAGTAATTCCTACTCAGTAAGACACATTTTTTAATCCTGGTTTCTTCTCTTCCTGCAATTGTTAACTGCTTTGTTATGCCAGTTGCAAAACGTCTGCCATTTTAGTTACCCATAATGCCCTCTAACAACCTTAACCTAGGACAGGGGTCGGCAACCTGTGGCTCCGGAGTCGCATGTGGCTCTTTTAATCCTCTGCTGTGGCTCCCTCCTTACATCCCTCTGCTGTGGAGAGAAGCAGCTGACGCCGCTGCTGTTACCGTCTTCGTGGCCTGCCCACTGCTCTTGCAGCGCCTTGCGCAGCACAGTGAAATTTAGCATGCTTCACAATGGAGGAGATTGGGTCCCCCCCACTCCTGAAGTCCATTATGACGTGGAGCCACAATGCGATCCTGCCCCACTCCCCCCGGCAAGAACAGCAGCGTTGGCCGTGGGGTGGGCCAGTGTCGCGGGGCGGAGAGTAGGTCGCGTGTTTCCCCAAGTGACCGAGGTGCATCCAGCACCAACAAAGGCTGGAAGTAGCTGCCCATTGTTTTCTGCTACAGTCTGTTGAGGGGGGGGTAAGAGAAAGGGAGAGGGGTGGGAGTGAATGAGGTCGAGTTGGCCACTCCCACTCAATCACACTGGTTGTTAAATTATTGGTTCCCGGTGTTTTCTGTGGGAAATGGGTCCAAATCAGAGGTAGGTTTCAGCAGGTTCTGACCAGTTCTGGAGAACCGGTAGTGGAAATTTTGAGTAGTTCGGAGAACCAGTAGTAAAAATTCTGACTGGCCCCTCCCCCATCCATTCTTTGCCTCCTGAGTCTCAGCTGATCGGGAGGAAATGGGGATTTTGCAGTAACCTTCCCCTGGATTGGGGAGGGAAAGGAAATTTTACAGTATTCTTCCCCTGCCATGCCCACCTAAGCCACACCCACAGAACCAGTAGTAAAAAAGTCTTCAAACCCACCACTGGTCCAAATGGCTCTTTGAGTGTTTATGGTTGCAGACCAGTGGTGAAATCCAATTTTTTTTACTAGCGGTTCTGTGGTCGTGGCTTGGTGGGCGTGGTGTGGCTTGGTGGGCGTGGCAGAGGAAGGATACTGCAAAATCCCCATCCCCACCCCACTCCTGGGGGAAGGATATTGCAAAATCCCCATTCCCTCCCCACTCCTGGGGGAAGGATACTGCAAAATCCCCATTCCCACCCCATTCTGGGGCCAACCCGAGGTGATATTTGCCGGTTCTCCGAACTACTCAAAATTTCCGCTACCGGTTCTCCAGAACTGGTCAGAACTTGCTGAAACCCACCTCTGAATGACATCACACCATGGGCTGCAATTCATCGTGCAACTCCGGGCTCTCTGAGGCAGAACCCAACTGTCATCTCTCCCTGCCAATGTTTACGAATGAAATCTTCCCGCCTCTCTGTTTCTCAAAAGATTGCTCAGTGTGTGGCAGAGTCCTAAACAGTTAGGATTGTTCTGCTTTCAGCAGTTTGTATAGCTGTATGCTGTTCTTGTTCTCTAACATGTATTGAGCTCCATCAAGTGGCCAAAGATAAAAGCTTTTATTGTTTAACTTTAAAAAGTTGGTTTTAGTAGTGCTTTGGCCCTACCTCCCTCATTCTGGGGGGAAAAAAAACCTAGGTGCATCCTGAGAAGCCAGACTCCATTTTCTAACATTCTGAGGATGCAAAATCATCTGGAAAAATCCAGCCTAATCTGTGGCGCATGTTCATCGGCAGACAAAAATCCATGTCCCATATACCGTACATATAGCACTGCTGGTAAAACTTGGACTTTATCTGTAATTTATTAAACCAGCAACTCAACACTGTTTATTTTGTATTCGGGTTCTTACTGTGTGTATTTCTATTTTCCCCCAGTTTCACCATCCTGTTCCTTTAATAAAACGTCAAGATCTAGATAGATCAGGTGTGTGTCAAACTCAAGGCCCGCAGGGTGCTTAGATCTGACCCACGGGGCCACCCTATATACAGCGGACCAGCCTGTGGTGCCTCTTTCTGGGAGTGGGTTGCAGGAGGCCGTTGCAGCCGAAAACTGAGCTTCGGAACCCGTTTTCGCTGGCAGAGTGCTTGGGCCACCACAAGCGCCCCTAACACAAGTAATGTTGAGCTGGTCATGTCCACCCTGGCCACGCCCCCCAGCCCCCCCCGAGATCAAACACAATCCTGATGTGGCCCTCAATGAAATCGAGTTTGATACCCCTGACCTACAACTATCTCAGAATTCAGGCCAAATACGTTTACGTTAACCAGATTATTTCTATTTTTTTTTATTTGTTTGCTTGTTAGATTTATATCCCATCTTTCGTCTAGGAGCATTCCTTTCCCCAAAGTCTCTACCACAACAACCCTGTGAGGTAGGTTGGTCTGACAAATATACTACGTCATCCAGCTTGGAAAGTGGGATTTCTTTAGTATAACATCTTAATCACTTCACCACACTGGCTAATACTATTCCAACTAGAATATTTCTCTATTTCCTTCTCCATAGTCTAAGAACAGTAACAACAGGGGAGAAAAAAAAGGAGACATTTCCATTTTATATATATATATATATATATATATATATATATATATATGTATGTATGTATGTATGTATGTATGTATGTATGTGTATATGTATATGTATATGTATATGTATATGTATATGTATATGTATATGTATATGTATATGTATATATAAAGACTTTATGTCATACCTGTGAGAATGTTGGGAAAACTGAGTTGGAACAACCTGGATAGCTCTGGGGAAAAAACAAAAATCAAAGGAAATTGTATGAGCAAATATCAGAACAGAACGCTATCTCTAAAGCAAGGATCTCCATCCTTGGCAACTTGGACTTGTGGACTCTGAATTGTGAATTCTGGGAGTTGAAGTTCACAAGTCTTCAAGTTGCCAAGGATGGAGGCCCCTGTTCTAGATCAGTGTTTGTCTACCTCAGCAACTTTTAAGATGTGTGGACTTCAACTCCCAGAATTCCTCAGGCAGTGAAAAATGCTTTTTAAATGGTACAGATAGTGTTGTTTAATGAACGCATTTAACGACGCTCCAAGTTTACGACAAACACACACATACACTGAAGGTACTTATAACCAGGGGTGAAATTCAAAATTTTTCCCTACCGGTTCTGTGGGTGTGGCTTGGTGGGCAGGGCAGGGGAAGGATGTTGGAAAATCTCCATTCCCACCCCACTCTGAGGCCAGCCAGAGGTGGTACTTGCCAGTTCTCCGAACTACTCAAAATTTCCACTACCGGTTCTCCAGAACTGTCAGAACCTGCTGGATTTCACCCCTGCTTATAACCCAGTTTCTGATAGAGACATACACACACCTCTAGTCACATGACTTCATTTTGCTCACTTGGCAATTGGCTCAATTTTCATCAGTTGCAGTGTTCCATGGTCATGTGACTGCTATTTATTTATTTATTTATTTATGGTTAGTTTCCAGCCTTTTTGGCTGGTTTGTGCTAAAAACACGCCCATAGGAGTGGACTCGCTTTATGACTGCTGCATTTTGCTTAACAAATGTCACAAAAAACGGTTTCTAAAATCAGGTCCGTCATGTAGGCGCCTCAGTTTACGACAGAAATTCTAGGCACCATTACAGTCATAAATTGAGGACTACCTAAAATTATAATACACAAATGTGGCGCTTTCTGACATCCTCTCACAACAATCCCGCCAAACTTCAAACGATGGAGAGGTGCGATAGGTGCTTCACGGCCGCTGATCCTGTCAGAGCTGCCCCCTCCAAAAAAATCAAAGATGGTGACTAATGCCATGCAATCAAAGTTGTGTCTCTGTTGAAGTTCATCATATTTGGGACACACATGAGGGATTGTTGGCATTAGGCCACCACCTGGATTTTATTTTGATCTTCCCCCCTCAAATCACTTGAGAAACTGTCAGAAAATCTTTGCATTATTCAAAGACCGGAAGGAAAGAAGAAAGGCATATATTTATCCTGTTTAAATACGCCACACATTTAATCCCAAGAAAAATAAGGGTACCCATTTGTTTATCAGAGGAAGGCAGGAGAGGTGTTTTATAAATAAAATGACATCAATGGAATACCTACAACTGGATTTTGGAAGCTGATCGAGACAACATCTAGTTCTCCGGAAATTCCGATGGTATCTACCCGGGAAAGAGGGATCCTGTGTTTGAATTCCAAATACAGGTTTCCATCGACGAGAACCTGGCACACAAAGAAGGGAGCAACTTGTCAAGTCAGAACAAGAACAAGTTACAAGAACAACAGAGAAGGAAATGTCTGTGGAGATTCTCAATCATCCAGCAATTATATACTGCCTCATGGTGCTTTACAGCACTTGCTGGGTGATTTATGATGTCAGCATATTGCCAACAATCTGGGTCCTCATTTACTGACTTCAGAAGGATGGAAGGCTGAATCAACACTAAGCCAGTCAGGATCAAACTCCAGACTGTGGGCAGAGTTAGCCTGCAATACTGCATTCTAACTTCTGCCCCATCAGGGCTCCAGGTCACAGTTGTCCCAAAAGTGCTTTTTCCAAAAGACAACTGGATTTCTTTGCTTTTTCTTTGAAAATGTTTCACTTCTCATCCAAGAAGCTTCTTCAGTTCTGATCTGAAGAACTGAAGAAGCTTCTTGGATGAGAAGCAAAACGTTTTCAAAGAAAAAAAAAACACCAGGAAGTCCAGTTGTCTTTTGGAAAAAGCACCTTTGGGACAACAGAGAAGGAAGCAAAACAATCGTTGAACTCACCTAACAAGCTAACCCCAGTTAGTAGATTATGAATAAGGCCAACTGGGAAGTCACAAACCATGTTTTAGAAATGATAAGGACTAGATTCCCCAAAAACACTTAAACCAAGTTGAGATTACTGGTGGTGCTTGACTTACAACCAATCACTTAGTGACGGATCACTAAGCGAAGTTACAAGGGCCACCCCCTCTCTCCCAATTGTGTTTTGGGAACTTGGCAATCAGTCAGCATTCACAGCCATTTACAGTTTCCCACGGTCATGTGACTGCGATTTACGATGTTTTTGTAGCAAATCAGCGTTTACTTCCAATTTTCGGCAAAAATGGGCCATAGTAAAAAATGATTCACTTAATGAACCCTGCAAAAAAGGCAACAAAAACAGATCCGATCCTGTGATGATCTACATTATGACGGTCACAACTGATGACCATAATGGTCATCACTCTCCATTGGGAGACTGTATGGAGCACCCAAAGTGGGTAAGAGACTGGAAGAGTCGCTCTGTGAAGAACACGGTTTCTAAACTGATAAATAAAAATAAAGACAAGCTCAAAAGAAAGTGTGCCCCAAACTCCATTGGGTTATGTGTGCATTGATGGGGCCCATTTTGCATTTGAGAGAGCAGTTTTGCACTCAGCAAGCGATGCTTTGAGACATTTTGTATTTCACACATTTTGAAAAATGTTTTTCCATTGCTACAAGGTAAAAATCAAAAACCAAATCTAGTGATTTAAAAAAAAAAAAGATGGTGATTATAATCCACAAAGAGGAGATGTTATCATCTTCATACCACATAGGAGGAGATGTTCACAAGAAACCGGATCTCAAAAGGATGCCCTTTTTGGAAAACCATATCATATTTCCTTTCTTCTTCCTGCCAGCCACCTTTTTCGTGTGAATTGCATACAATACAGTTCTCATCAAAACGGACGTTGAAATGGAAAGCGACATCTGATCTGGGCACTTGGCAATTGCCACACTGAAAGTCAACCTGGAATCTGCAGAGAGAGCAAAAAAGAGAAATTTACAGATTAACAGGGTTGGAAGGGGCCTTTTAGGTCATTTAGCAGAACCCCTTCCGCCCATCTGGATGAGGACCATGTGATATTAAGGTAAACAGAAGAAAGATGGCCCTGGAAAACCACTTACAAATCTTGTCTTTTCTCTGCCCTACATACTCTTGGATCCACCATGGAAGGCAGCTCTACTCTTCACTGGCCTGCAAACTGTCCCCAGCCGAAGCCCCCCATAAATCTCTTTCAGCCAGCAGTTCAGAGTCATTAATTACCGTATGTTTCGGAGTATAAGACGCACCTTTTTACCCCCCAAAAGGGGGTGAAAATTTAGGTGCTTCTTATACACCGAATGTAGCCCTGCCCACCCACTGGCCCCCACCCTTTGGCCTCTGCCTGCCAGCAGTTACCTCCTTGCAAGCAAACAGCAAGAAAAAACAGCCCCATTCAGCTTCAGCATAGGCTAATTAGCACAAGTTGATTAGATCGGCCTCCCGACTCTCAGCTGATTTGCTCTCAGCTGTTTTGCACAGGCTCTGCTGCAAGCTCTTTGCTTGCTGCAAAGAGTGCTGGAGCAGATTTTTTTTTCCCTAGCTAAAACGAAACTGAAAGTAAAGCAGGCTCTGCTGCAACGTGACAAAATGAGGCAGGGAGAAAGATTTATTTTTCTTTTTGCTCACCAAAAAAGGTAGGTGCAAACACTGGGAAATTTAGGGCAAAAGAGGAGAGTTCAAGATTTTAAAACACAAAAGAAAAAAAGGTCTATTTAACTAGGGAATTGTAATAATTGAGATGCTATTAATTGTATATTGTGTTGAAAGCAGAAATGGTTAAGTTGTGGTTTGGAGGAATATATGGGGAAAATTATTTGGTTTATTATTATTGGTAAATATAATTGATTGATTTGTAAGAAATTGGATTGCATGGAAATAATTGGAATATTCATGTTCATATTGATTAATATTCAAAAAAGATAGTTATAACTAATTGATTTATATAAAAATGTTGAATTTGTATTAAACAATTGTAATATTAAATAATTAACCAATGTGAGGATGGATATAAAAATAGATGACAATGGGAAGGGGTATAATATAGAATAGAAGGGAAAAATTGAATTTGATTAAGATTAGAGATGAGAATGAAGGGTAATATTGGTTTTTTTAAAAAAAATAGATGAGGAATAAATATGGCAAAAAGGAAATATAGAAATTGTAAATTTAATTGAAATGACTAAACACTGTTTAAATTTGTGAACCAGCCAAATACTCTGTTCAAAGAAAATACATTGTATGTTTGTATGTGTGCTTGTCTAAAAAATTAAAAAAAAACTTTAAAAAGAACAACCAAAAAAGGTAGGTGCGTCTTATACTCCGAAAAATACGGTAAACCACTTCCTGATGTGCCAGGAATGAGCTCATCCTCCTGCGAGCCGGCCTCCGAGGAAGAGTGAGAGGAGTGGTCCAAGGGAGGCATCACAGGGTCACGGTTCCCCAACTCTGTTTTACAATATGAATGTGCTGGAATGGGTTTGTTTAAGAAGTGTTTGTAGGTTCAACCTGACCAGCAATTTCTTTGTACTTATTTGCAAAACTTCAATGAAGATCAACAGAGGATGCTGTTAATATGACTGCACTACATCCTACAACATCTTGAATCTCCAAAGACCTATGCAAGGGTCCTCTTTGTAGACTTCAGCTCAGCATTCAATACCATCATTCCGGATATTCTTCTAAGTAAACTAAACCAGCTAGTGGCACCTGACCACACTTGTAAATGGATCATAAGCTTCCTAACAGACAGGAAGCAGCAGGTGAAGCCAAGCAGAATCACATCACATGCCTGCACAATTAGCACAGGGGCCCCCCAGGACTGTGTGCTCTCTCCACTACTCTTCTCTCTATACACCAATGACTCAGTGGTGGGTTCCTCCCAGTTCGGTCCGGTTCGGCAGAGCCGGTAGCGGTGACGATATGACGTCACCGAACCGGTTCTCCCCCCCTGCCCTCCCACCCCCCCACGTTATTCTTACCTTTTATTTGGTCCCACCCCCAATCTATTGCTGCCTCCTGAGTCCCAGCTGATGACTAGAGGGAAAAAAACTGTTTAAACTCTTGCCGCGGGGCTTCAAAGGGCCGTCCTACAGCTGATCAGTGTTAAAAGCAAACAAATGAGTCAGGTCGTAAGTGCGAGGACTGGTTGTAAGTGCGAGGACCTTCCAGAAATGACTCTGACCAGCTAGCCACGCCCACCTAGTCACATGACCTCCAAGCCACACCCACAAAATAAGCCACGCCCACAGAACCGGTAGTAAAAAACATTTAGAACCCACCCCTACAATGACTGCATCTCAAACGATCCCTCTGTTAAAATACCGAAGTTTGCAGATGATACAACAGCGATTGGTCTCATTCGAGACAACAATGAATCTGCATACAGACGGGAGGTTCAATAGCTAGCCAGAACAATCTTGAACTAAATACACTCAAAACTGTAAAAATGGTGGTGGATTTTAGAAGAAACCCACCTATACTACCACCTCTTACAATACTAGACAACACAGTATCAACAGTAGAGTCCTTCACGTTTCTAGGTTCTATCATATCTCAAGACTTAAAATGGACACCTAACATCAAAAACGTCATCACAAAACCTCAATAAAGAATGTTCTTTCTGCGCCAACTCACAAAGCTCAAACTGCCAAAGGAGCTGCTGATCCAGTTCTACAGAGGAATTATTGAGTCTGTCATCTGCACCTCCATAACTGTCTGATTTGGTTCTGCAACCCAACAAGACAGACACAGACTTCAGAGGATAATTAGAACTGCAGAAAAAACAATGGCTACCAACCTGCCTTCCACTGAGGATCTGTATACTGCACCAGTCAAAAAGAGGGCTGTGAAAATATTTACAGATCTCTCGCATCCTGGACATAAATTGTTTCAACTTCTACCCTCAAAACGATGCTATAGAGCACTGCACACTAGAACAACTAGACACAGGAACAGTTTTTCCCCGAATGCCATCACTCTGCTTATCAACTAAGTCCCACAACACTGTCAAATAATTTACTAAGACTGTACTACTATTATTATTCTCTTCCTTACTAGTATCCATCTCTTCCCATTTATTACTATAACCATGTTGCTTGTATCTTTCAATTTGTATTGTTTTTATTTGTTTCCTTGTATAATTTGATATTGTTTCCTAGTACAATTTGATTATTAGTAACCTTGACTATCACTAAGTGTTGTATCTTTTTATTCTTGATGAATGTATTTTATTCTCCTTATGTACACTGAGAGCGTATGCACCAAAGACAAATTCCTTGTGTGTCCAATCACACTTGGCCAATAAAGAATTCTATTCTATTTTATTCTATTTTGTTTCAGAACTCATTCCCATCCCATCAATGGGATAATTATTGTAAATGATTGTTATACAATATGGACTGAAAGGTCCACCTTATTCAGAGATGGAACTTTCTTCTGGTTGTGCCTTCACTAGTTCCATGACTGTCTAGATATTTTGAAAAAATCTAGATTTTTTGGTGGAAATTCCCATGTACCCCTTTTCTCCTCCACTTAAATGACTCACCTTCTGCAGGACTTCAAAACACTTCCGGCGACTAATACGGTAATCCCATCTTTCAGGCCACCATAAATTGGACCACTAAAAGGAACAGTCTGACCAGAAGTTAAAAGAAAAAAAAATAGCCATTAAATGGAGAATCTGCTGCAGCTCAAAGACATTAATTCAACTGGTTCATGAATAAATGCCTGGGAAATATAATAACATGTCTGCCTCCATCCTACCCTGAAAGTGCTTTAAAACACTTTTTCTCAATCTGAGAACTTTCAAGATGTATGGACTTCAATTCCCAGCATTCCCCAGGTCCACCACCAGTAATAGTTTGCTCAACCAAAAGCACCTGACAACTGTTAAACCGGTATTTGTCAACCTTGGGTAGTCAAAGATGTCCGGACTTCATCTCCCAGAATTCCCCAGACAGAGAGCTGCTTGAAGGATTCCGGGAGTTGAAGTCCATACCTCTTAAAGTGCCCAACATTGAGACACACAACAATATATACAGAGAGTAATGACTGAACCTCAGTCTTTACCCAGGCATATTTTAGCTTCACCTTGCATCTTAATTTATTTATTTTATTTATGTTTTTAGTATATATCTTTGGGAGTACGTGTTTATCTTTTATGATTTTAAGCAGTGGTGGGATTCAAATAATTAACCAGTTCTCTGCCCTAATGACCGGCTGGGTGGGCATGGCCATGATGGGCGCGGCCAGGGGGTGTGACAGGCAGCACTCGGCCTCCCTGCAGCCTCCTGGGAGCAAAAGCGGGCCACGGGGGGTGGGGGTGTGTGCTGCACCCTGTTTTGGGCCTAGTAGGCCTTCCTGTAGCCTCCTGGGAGCAAAACCGGGCTGCGGGATGGGCATCGCAACCCAACCACCCCGCGGCTTGTTTTGGGCCTAGTAGGCCTCCCTGCACTTACCTGGGAGCCAAAATGAGGCGCATGGGGACTCCTGGAAGGGGAGGGGCAGGGCCAGCCGGCAATTTAACAACTGGTTCGCTTGAACCAGCTGAATCCCACCACTGATTTTTAGCCACCCAGAGTTACCCTGTGGTAAGATGGGCGGCCAATAAAATTTATAAATAAATACATAAATCTCAGGCAAACTGCATAAACAAAGAAACAGATAAAGCAAACAAAACAAAACAAGCAAACTTCACAAATAAACCGACAAAACAAGCAAACAGAATCCCAGCATTCTTTCTTAGGCCTAGATACTCGTCAACATCTTCATCAACAATTTAGATGAGGGCATAAAAAGGAAACTCATCAAATATGGGGAAATAGCCTCAAGATCCAGAAACATCTTGACAATACTTGAACACTGGGCCCTATCCAATAAAATGCAATTCAATGGTGAGAAAAATAAGGTTTTACATTTAGGCAAGAAAAACTGTATAGAATAGAATAGAAATAATAATAGAATAGAGTAGAATATTATTTATTTATTTATTTATTTATTTAGTCGCATTTCTATGCCGCCCCACTCCCAAGGGACTCTTGGGAGTAGAGTAGAGTAGAGTAGAGTAGAGTAGAGTAGAGTGTAGTGGAGTAGAGTTAAGAATAGAGTGGAGTGTGGAGTGGAGTGGAGTGGAGTGGAGTGGAGTGGAGTGGAAGGGAGAAGAGAAGGGAAGGGAAGAGAAGGGAAGGGAAGGAAAAGGAAGGGAAGGGAAGGGAAGGGAAGGAAAAGGAAGGGAAGGGAAGGGAAGGGAAGGGAAGGGGAGGTACCTGGCTCAACAGTAATAACTGTGAGTGAGATCTAGGAGTCCTAGTGGACAACCACTTAAGTATGAGCTTGCAGTGTGTTACAGCTTCCAAAAATATCAAGACACTCCTAGACTGTAACAACAGAGGGGTTGTATCAAGATCATATGAAGTGTTAGTACTGCTTTATACTGCTTTGGTGAGACCACACTGGGAATATTGCACCCAGTTTGGATGTATTGTAATGATATAATGATATTTATAATGATATTAAAAAAAGATGTTGGGACTCTAGAAAGAATGCAAAGAAGAGCAACAAAGACGATTAGGGGACTGGAGGCTAAAACACATGAAGAACAGTTCCAGGAATTGAGTATGTCTGGTTTTAGGACTAGTGGGGATGACATGATACCACTGTTCTAATATCTTAGAGCAGTGTTTCCCAAACTTTTGACATATGTGTACCCCTTCTATAATTTTCGTAACGCTGAGTACCCCTCTGTGGGCGCAGCTAAGCACGGTGCAGTGGATATTCCCACGTGATCCCCACCAAACTCTGGTGCAACGCGTACCCCCACCAAACTCTTCCCGTACCCCTGGGGGTACGTGTACCACACTTTGGGAAACACTGTCTTAGAGGCTGCCACAAAGAAGAGGTGGGGGGGGTCAAACTATTCTCCAAAGCACCAGAGGGCAGGACAAGAAGTAACTTGTCAAAGAGTTTGGAAAACTTACCAAAGAGAGAAGCGACCTAGAACTAAGGAGAAATTTTCTGACAGTGAGAACAATTGATCAGCGGAACAGTTTGCCTTCAGAAGTTACGGGCGCTCCAACACCAGAGGTTTTTAAGAAGAGATTGGACAGTCATTTGTCCAGAATGGTATAAGGCAGAGGTCCTCAAACTTGGCAGCTTTAAGACTTGTGGACTTCAACTCCCAGAATTCTCCGGCCAGCATAGCTTTCTGGGAGTTGAAGTCCACAAGTCTTAAAGCTGCCAAGTTTGAAGACCTCTGGTATAAGGTCTCTTGTCCGAGCGGGGGTGGGGTGGGGGCTGGGCTAGAAGGACTCCAAAACCCCTTCCAATTCTCTTATTTCTGTATTCTGCTTATGGGTAAAATCATCTGGCCATACTTCGGCGACGTCAGGTATGAGCAAATTAAAATAAATAATCAACTTGCAATCCCCACCCCTCTCGCTACCCTCTAATGAAGCAAAGGAAGGACCTGCTGGAAGCAGCTTGCAAACTGCACTCCCCGGGGATGGGGAGAAATGGAGCAGTGACAGGGGTCAGTAGAACGAGGAAGCAAGGGTCCTCCCGCCTTGCCTCCTTACCTACCGTTAGCCACATGCTCTTTCTGCAAAGCCCCCCACCGGAAGATAATCTTTGACTTATTTTCGCTTTCTTATTTTTACAATGGAGGTGCTGGGCAGCATCCCCTCTCCTGCGTCTCTACTTCCCTGTGCTTGGGACACAGCTGATTTCCGCTCCAGCACTTGACAATGAAGCAGCTCCACCCTCCCCCCCTCCCTCCCTCCTTCCCCAGCTTCAGTCCTCCAGGCCTGCAGCTGGCTGCTTTACAAAAAAAGCTGGGAATCCACCCTCTCTTTCCAGGAATGCCCACAGACAAACAGAGGCATAGAATCAAAAGGCTCCAGCTGGTCCAGAATGCAGCCGCGCGGGTGGTTATGGGAGCAACGGGGTGCTCCCATGTGACCCCCGTCCTGCGCGAGCTGCACTGGCTCCCAGTGGTCTTCTGGGTGCGCTTCAAGGTTTTGGTTACCACCTTTAGAGTGCTCCATGGCTTAGGACCGGGGTATCTATGAGACCGCCTTCTGCCACCAGTAGCCTCTCACCGACCAGTATGCTCCCATAGAGAGGGGCTCCTCAAGGTGCCGTCGGCCAAACAATGTTGACTGGCGGCCCCCAGGGGGAGGGCCTTCTCTGTGGGGGCACCCGCCATCTAGAACGAGCTCCCCCCGGAGATACGGAGGATCCCGGACCTGCACACTTTCCGCCATTCCATCAAAACATTTCTTTTCCAGCAGGCCGGCCTGGCCTAGCCTCCTCTCTTTTAAACTGTTTTTAAAAAATTTTTAAATTTCTAAATTTTAAATTTTGTCTTATGAATTTGGGGGTTTTAAATTCCGTTCTCTGAGCCAATTATTTAATGGTATTTTAACGGTTTTTAACATTGGTATTATATGTATTTTATTTGGCTGTTCACCGCCCTGAGTCCTTCGGGAGTAGGGCGGTATATAAATTTAATAAATAAATAAAATAAATAAATAAAATCACGGGAAGTATAGTACCGTTTATAAAACCTTAGTATAAACCACACCTGGAATACTGCATCCAGTTTTGGTCACCACATTACAAAAAAGATGTTGAGACTTTGGAAAATCTGCAAAGAAGAGCAACTAAGATGCTTAAAGGCCCGGAGGCTAAAACATATGAAGAACTTGCAGGATTTAGGTTTGGCCAGTCTAGAGAAAAAGACTGGCGGGGACATGATAGCAGTATTCCAGTATCTGAGAGGCTGCCACAAAGAGAAAGGGATCAACTTATTTTCTAAAGGCAAGACAAGAAGCAATGGATGGAAACTAATCAAAGAGGGAAGCAACCTGGAACTAAGGAGAAACTTCCCAACAGTGAGGACAATTAACCAGTGGAACAGCTTCCCTTCAGAAGTTGTGGGTGCTTCCATCACTGGGGTTTTTAAAGAAGATACAGGACATCCCCTTGTCTGAAATGGTAGGGTTTCCTGTTTGAGCAAGGGGCTGGACTAGAAGACCTCCAAGGTCCCTTCCAGCTCCATTCTGATTGATTGATTGATTGATTGATTGATTAAGTTGCCAAATTGACAAAACACCACCTTAAGAGATTTGGAAGAGCAGGATGGTTGTGCCAAACAGGGCTTTTTACTGTAGTTTTTGTGTTTACTACAAATCAAACATGTTCCTTTCCCTTTAAAAAAAATCCCCTTACTGGGAAGGGAAATGAAACAGAGGATGTGCTAGAAAGAAACTGAAACAGAAACCACAGACGTCTTGTGATACATGGGTGTCACAAAGTCACTCAGAAGGTTGTGCAAAAAAAAAACAAACAATGTTGTGGCAGTTTGATCTTGACTGCAACTGTTATTGAGTGGTTTGATTTCTGGTGGCCGCCCATTTTAAAACACAACTCTGGGTGGCTCACAACAAAACTAAAACCCAGAACTAAAACCACCATAAAAATGTTCAATCATAAAGTCATGCTTTAGTACCCTTTTGATCATACTTCAAGTGCTTCAATAAAGCAATTTTCGGAACACTATGGATACGAGTTGCGTGTACACAGCTCTATGCAGGTGTTTGGTATAAAAATGTGTATGTTGTATGGCTGGGGAGGAAAAAGATGGCAGAAGTTGCCAGGAAGGGGACTGTGGACTTCAATTCCCAGAATTCCCCAGCCAGCCATTCCCTGACTTGAGGAATTCTGGGAGTTGAAGTCCATACATCTCAATGTTGCTGATCTTGAGAAACACTAAGGTTAGAGACCTTAACCAAGATGCCATCTTGAGCTGGAGAAAAATGGCACCTTCTCGGGAGTTCAGAAAAAGCTGAGAAACACTGCTCTAACCGGTAGCAGCAGCATTCTTTGATCTGTACATGTTCACCAGTGGTGGGTTTCAATTTTTTTTACTACCGGTTCTGTGGGTGTGGTTTGGTGGGCATGGCATGGCTTGGTGGGCGTGGCAGGGGAAGGATACTATAAAATCTCCATTCCCACCCCAATCCAGGGGAAGGTTACTGCAAAATCCCCATTTCCTCCCGATCAGCTGGGACTCGGGAGGCAGAGAATAGATGGGGGCGAGGCCAGTCAGAATTTTTACTTCTGGTTCTCCAAACTACTCAAAATTTCCATTGCTGGTTCTCCAGAACTGGTCAGAACCTGCTGAAACCCACCTCTGGTGTGCACCTTGAAGGAAACAGACCAACATCTCCATCCTTAAGCAAACAAGATAGCCACTGTACTATAGGAAGTCTGACAGGTCACTTTAATGACTGTAGGACAGACATTCAAAAGGACATTTACAATGCAAATTCAAAGTTCTGAGTGATACAGAGAGAGCGGGGAGGGAGGGAAAGAGAGAGAGAGATAAACAGAGAGAGAGAGAGACAGAGAGTGAGTGTCATAAGTTTACATTTTGCATGCTCAGCAACCAGCCCACAATTACAGTTGATGCCAGAATTTTATGTTGTTTGGTTTATTTTTTATTGTTATTAGTTGCGAAGTCGTGTCCGACCCATCCCGACCCCATGGACAACGTTCCTCCAGGCCTTCCTGTCCTCTACCATCCTCTGGAGTCCATTTAAGCTCACACCTACTGCTTCAGTGACTCCATCCAGCCACCTCGTTCTCTGTCGTCCCCTTCTTCTTCTTTTATTATTATTACTATAACATAAACTGACATACAAAACATACAACATTTATATATAAACTTTCTTCACAGGTATTTCGTGATGGTCTTCTTTTGTTATTCACATTTCCCCTTATTTCTCTTTATATTATTCCAGGGTGGATTTGATTTAAATCGAGTTGATTTAAATCACGATTTAAATCATGATTTAAATCACTAGTAAAAAGGCTTGATTTAAATCAACTCGATTTAAATCATAATTTTTAAAAAGCAACTGTCATCTCTGCTACTCCTTTGACCCACTATTGACTCACCGATAGTCCCAGTGTTGCAGAATATACAGCCTCATGCTACATAACTAAGCTCCATTTCATGCTGAATAAACTATTTATGTATCTTAAATAGAAAACTATCTTAAGATAGATTTTTACCCCAAAAGTTTTTTATTAAAATAAATTAGATAAAAATCAAAAAAATCCGATTTAAATCAAAAAAATCTGATTTAAATCAAAAAAATCTGATTTTTTAAAAAAAATCATTGATTTTTATCCACCCTGTATTATTCCATTAACTACTTGTCCCTTTCATTTTTAATTACAGTATATTTCTCGTCATTCATATCAATTTTCTAACTTTTATAATTTAATAAATTTGTACAATACTAGACAATACTACACAGTACCAACCATAGAGACCTTCAAATTTCTAGGTTCTACCATGTCGCGAGATCTAAAATGGACAGCTAACATCCAAAAACATCATCACAGTAGCACAACAAAGAAAATTCTTTCTTTCTTTACTTTCTGGTCTTTCTATCTTTCCCCTCTATTTTTCTTCTTCATTTTTCCTATCCTCCAGCCATTTATACCACTTATGCCAAATTTTATAATATTGTGTCTTCCTTTTCTGTAAGTTCTTTTGTTAATTTATCCATTTCAGCACATTCCAATTTTTTTTTATCAATTCTTCATCTGTTGGTATATTCTCTTTTTTCCAATTCTGGGCATAAACTATACATCCGTCCCCTTCTTCTTTTGCCCTCAATCTTTCCCAGCATTAGGCTCTTCTCTGGTGAGTCCTTCCTTCTCATTAGGTGGCCAAAGTATTTGAGTTTCATCTTCAAGACATGGCCTTCTAAAGAGCAGTCAGCATTGATCTCCTCTAGGACTGACCGGTTTGATCGCCTTGCAGTCCAAGGGACTCGCAGGAGTCTTCTCCAGCACCATAGTTCAAAGGCCTCGATTCTTTGGCGCTCATCCTTTCTTATGGTCCAACTTTCACAGCCATACATTGCAACTGGGAAAACCATTGCCTTGACTATACACACTTTTGTTGGCAGGGTGATGTCTCTGCTGTCTAGATTTGCCATAGCTTTTCTCCCCAGAAGCAAGCATCTTTTAATTTCTTGGCTGCAGTTCCCATCTGCGGTGATCTTGGAGCCCATATTTAGCATACACATTTAATAAATTATTATTACTTTTATTTATGCAGTCATTAAAATTCATGTGTCGCCCTTCAGAAACAGACTTTTCATAATGTGCTGGGTAGATCCAACAAAGATAAAGCAGCTCCATTTGTTCAAAACAGGAAGAACAATTTTAGAATTTTAGAACTGCTTTTCATGAACCCAGGAAATGTGTTTCGCTGCACACTTTACTTTTTGTTACCATATTGGTAGTTCAGTATGATTTGGGTGATTGTTTTTACTATGTTTCTTGAGTTTTAAAGTATTATTTTGGGTTTCTTGCTTGGAAAAGATAAAAATGAAGCTTTGATTTTTTTTGGATTTGATGATCAGATTTGTTATGATTTTAGAAATACTGTATATTTTCACTTTTACTATTGAACACACACATATATTATACCTACGTGTAAACTCGGAGTAAGAACTATTTTCTTATCTAATTCTAACTCTGTTTTGATGTCTAATCTGTTCTTTTATTTGATGTTTCTGTAGTTTTATTTTGATTAGGAGTAAGAGATTTTTTTTTACTACATATTTATATCTGTACTGAAGAAAGTCCCAAGTAAATCTCTCTAGTTTGTCACTTTTTAACTTTTCCCCGTTTTTTATCCCTTTTCCCTCCATTGTTCCTTTTTTTTTTGTTATTTTGTATTTCACCTCTCTTTGAAACTTAACAAAACCGATTTAAATAAAATTAAATATTAGGTAAAAAATAAACTAAAATAAATAAAAATAATCCAACAGGAGGGGGTTGGATCAGAAGACCTCCAGTGTCCCTTTCAACTCTGGTATTCTTTTTATATAACGAGTAGAACCTTGTCCTAAAAAGCCACGTAACCTGGCCTTGGCGCAATCACGGTTATGCCTATCTTGGAATCAAGCGCACCAGGGGAACAGCCCGCCACAAGATACTGAATTATAGGATACCTGGCGTCATAAAGTGAGGTAGGTGGGGAATCCCTTTCCATCCCTTCGCTTCTTAAGCCAACTCAACTTACCGGTTTGTAATAAGGCGGCTGAAAGATCATTTTCGGCAGCTGGCAGCTGACGATCGGACTTTTTCTTCCCACCTCAGAAGGAACGAGATCCTCGCAGATGCGGCGCCGCGCTCCAATGGACCGAAGCTGAGGCGCGAAGGGGTTGGTGTGGGTAAAGGAAAGGGGCGGAGCCTGCCGGAAACCGGGGTGGGAGGGTGGAGATAAATGGGGGGGGGTCAGTGCTGTTCCCTAAAAGCCCGAAAGTGCTTTGAATGTGACCGCTTGTCACGCGATCTGCTTGCCTCCATTCCCACGACCCCCCTCGATTTTCCGCATCGCTCTCTGGTGTTTCCCAAGCGCTAGTCGCGGAGATGGGTTGGAGGCAGCTGATGGGTCAATTTAAGGAGGAATTGCAACATGCCAATGGGGTAATAGTGATGCCCATGATCGGGGTTATGAGAGCACATCTGAAATACTGCGGGGGTGGGGGGCGTTCACACCACAGGGACGAACCTGCAGCTTTCCAAATTCAGCCTATTTGGGGAGGGGAGAGGGAGATCTCGCAAGTCAAGAACCTTCCGGTTACGATCAAAAAGAGGCAATCTCAACACAAGGTGGTTTTTTTTTTTTACAGTAACGCAGTTGGAAGGGACCTTGGAGGTCATCGAGTCCAACCCCCTGCTCACCAAGAGACCTGTACTCGGGGATTCGAACTGCCGATTTTTCGGATCGACCAGCTCAGTGTCTTAGCCACTGAGCCTCCAAGTCAGGTTCTTCATCATCCTTAGTTTGGGAAGATTGGTATGAAGTCACCCTAACCCCTGAGACAGGCTTATCCCTCCCACCCCCCACCCCTTCAGTTTGCATTAGAAAATCAATGACTTTTCTCTTTTTAAATTGTAAATTTTAAATTTGTCTTAAGCATTGGGGGTGTTTTTAATTTGTCCTGGGCCAAATTATTTAATGTGGTTTTATACTGTCTTTTTAAATTTTGTAATCTATGTGTTTTAATTTTTGGCTGTTCACCGCCCTGAGTCCTTCGGGCGTAGGGCGGTTTATAAATCTAATAAAATAAAATAAATAAATAAATAAATGAGAAATACGCCTGCTCAAAAAATAAAGGGAACACAAGCAGAAGACATCTGAGATCTGAATGAATGAAATAGCCTTATTAAATACTTTGTTCGTTACATACCGTAGTTTTGTGTTCCCTTTAGTTGTTTGAGCAGTGTATAAACTACTGTATGTAAAGAACAAAGTATTTAATAAGGCTATTTCATTCATTCAGATCTCAGATGTCTTCTGCTTGTGTTCCCTTTATTTTTTTGAGCAGTATATTTCACTAAGCGCTTCAGCTCCAAGAGTCTGAGTAAATTCTTTCAATCTATTACACAAGAGAGAGCAACCCCTTCCTTTAAACTAAACTAAAGGTTTACTTTAGTAAAGTAAATTAAGGTTAATGTTTGGCCAAAATGGGACACTAGTACTGAGTAATCAAAATGAAACAAGCATGTGACCCAAAGTTAAAAGTTTATTCTTCCAAATGCAATCCTCCTTTAAATGATTATTAATTGTCCGTCTATACCATTTCAGATCCACCAGCAGCCACTCAATAGTCTAAAATTAATGTAAACTAGAAAAAAAGGTCTTTCTGGGGTTTTTTTGCTGGAATAAAAGGGAACTGTGTGCCCAGCGTACTATATTGTTCAGAACAGATTTGGGCTAAATTCTTAACAATACTTTTGAAAGCAAAGCAGTGATATTTCAGCATCTTTTTTTAAAAAAATAGCTGTATCCCCAGAATTGCAATAGTGAGACTACCTCTTTAAAATGACTATGGTTGGCTGGGGGCTACTGTAGCTATTTGCCTACCTATCAGCAAAGCTAGGCACATCAATGCTCCTACCTACTAGCATTGGAACCAGAATGTACTCAGAAAGGGAAGCCCGGACTTCAATAACTGGGGAAAAAGGGGCACCAGGACATGTAATAGGTAGTCCTCCAATTTACAACCATTCATTTAGCAACTGTTCGAAGTTACAACAGCACTGAAAAAAGTGATTAATGACTGGTCTTCGCACTGTAGGAAGTTAGGACTCACCCCTCTCCTAGAAAAATGAAATATTTTAGGAAATATTCAAAAGACAGAATATTATATTTCCCTGGATGAGAAATGGAGAAACATGTTTCAAAGCAGCTTCCTGCCTCCCCCCCCACCTTTGTCAATGGGCCATTAAGGCTTCAGCCAAGCTCACTCATTCCCCCCACCTTTGTCAATGGACCATCATCTGCAACACAATGGGACCCATCTAGCAACAGAAACTCACCACATGGCACCTGGGAAGATTACATCAGCCAGCAAGGCTAGCTAAGACCCCCACCCCCTGGGAGTCTGACAACCAATCAGGATACTCTTCCTGTGCCCCAGGAAGTTCAAAGCTCAAAAGGACATAAAACCAAGGCACGCTCAGCATCTTTTTTTTTTTTTTTTTAATTTGATTTATATGCCGCCCTTCTCCGAAGACTCAGGGCGGCTTACAATGTGCTCAGCAATAGCCTTCATCCTTTTGTATATTTATATAAAGTCAGCTTATTGCCCCCACAAACTGGGTCCTCATTTCACCTACCTTAGAAAGGATGGAAGGCTGAGTCAACCTTGAGCCTTGGCGAGATTCGAACCCTGCAGTAATTGCAGGCAGCTGGTCTTAATAAGCTTAATAACAGGGTGCCTTAAACCCCTGTACTACCAAGGCTCTTGGTAGTTTTTGCCCCTTTTCTGCTCAGGAACTCAAACCATGTGATCCTGTCCACCATTAAACCATCTTTCCAAGCAGTCTCCGTGTTTCCAGTGTCTTTTTCCCCACTTGGAACTGAACCCAGAAGTATATTTCTTCCAACAGCCCTTACGACTGCCGCAGCATCCTCACGTGATCAAAATTTGGGTGCTTGGCATCCGGCATGTATTTACTACAGTTGCACATCATGTGATTGCCAGTTATGACTTTCCCAGGCAGCATCTGACCAACAGAGTCAATGGGGGAAGCCAGAGTCCCTTAACGATCGTCTGTTTCACTTAAACAATGGTGGGGATTTGCTTAACAGAATCGGGCACGACTCACTTAACAATTGCCGCGATTGTCCCAAAGGTGCTCTTCAGAACTGAAGGAGCTTCTTGGATGAGAAGCGAAATCTCTTCATGGAAACAATCGAGAAAGTCCAGTTGCCTTTTGGAAAAGCACTTTTAGGGGTAACCATGGACAATTGAGATTTTCCATAGACAATTGCCTTGATTAGCGATGGGAATTGTGGTCTCAGTTGTGCTTGTACATCGAGAGCTACCTGTACACGTAATTTCAGGTTGGAGGCAGGCTGCTATTGCGATAACTTTACAAACTATCCATGCTGGACTTGGCTACCCTTTGCCTCATATTTGTCACAAGTCTTTAGGCCAATGTTTCTCAACCTTAGCTATGTAAAACTTGTCGACTTTTTAAAATTCTCTCTTCCTCCTTCATTAGTTCCCTATTCCTGGAAGGCTCGTGTCTTCGTAGGTCAGGAATGCATTAATTTCTATCAGTTTTGTGTCCATATATCAGATAGATGCCCAATCCTTTTTTTTTTTTTAAATTTGATTTATATGCCGCCCTTCTCCGAAGACTCAGGGCGGCTTACAATGTGCTCAGCAATAGCCTTCATCCTTTTGTATATTTATACAAAGTCAGCTTATTGCCCCCACAAACTGGGTCCTCATTTCACCTACCTTAGAAAGGATGGAAGGCTGAGTCAACCTTGAGCCTTGGAGAGATTCGAACCCTGCAGTAATTGCAGGCAGCTGGTCTTAATAAGCTTAATAACAGGGTGCCTTAAACTCCTGTACTACCAAGGCTCTCTTTGCGGAGGCTCTGAAGTTTTAAAGAGACAAATGGACGTCTTATGTGTAAGACCTATAAATGTTAAAAAAAGGACTAACGTTTTTGGCCTTGGCCATTTTGAAAGGGCCCCAGGAACTACAAAGAGGATCACTTGAGCATAAGGTACATTTTAGTCGTCTTTGTTCTGACCTAGGCTTCCCCAAAAAGCATGAAGCAGAATCCTGGTCCCGACAAAACTTCTTTTATTAAACGAACAGTGAATTTATCTCATTCAGCAAAGTCTTTTAAGGGAGAATTTATAGTCACAGACCTTATCTGGCTTGGCTGATAAGCTGCCAGGCTGATATCTTCAAAACTTGGCAAGGAGTTTCGGAGAGTCATAAACCAATTAGGCAAACTAATTTTTTTTTTTAATTTGATTTATATGCCGCCCTTCTCCGGAGACTCAGGGCGGCTTACAATGTGCTCAGCAATAGCCTTCATCCTTTTGTATATATTTATACAAAGTCATCTTATTGCCCCCACAACTGGGTCCTCATTTCACCTACCTTAGAAAGGATGGAAGGCTGAGTCAACCTTGAGCCTTGGCGAGATTCGAACCCTGCAGTAATTGCAGGCAGCTGGTCTTAATAAGCTTAATAACAGGGTGCCTTAAACCCTTGTACTACCAAGGCTCTTGGTTTTTGTCTCCTGCAAACTCCTGCAAACTCCACTCCCCTTTCGCTCCTCTTTTATTCCCTCTGGGAGAGGCCGTTCATCATCCACCTGTGGCCTTACTCCCAAGTCGACCCTTGTTCTTTAGCTGTTCCCTTCGTCTGGCAACTCTGAGCCTGCGCACACTGGGAACACTGCCTCACTGATGTCTGACTCCAAAGGCAGCTGATAACTGTCATATGGACCTGGCCCCCTTTCTGCCTCTGATGCAGAGCCCTCATCAGAGCCTTCCCCAGACTCCAGGACTGGCCCATGTTCCTCCCCAACCTCCTCACTGTCCGAATCTGCTGCCAGCTCCGCCGGCCGCTGGCGGACCACAATAGTCCTGTTTCATGCTATAACTGTTCAGTTCATTCAGAAATGTTTGCCAAAGGATTATTTTTAAGGGTTTGGAAATTTAAGCATAACAATGTCTCTCTTGGGCCATCTCTGTCTTCAGGCTTGTAGATATAGTAATAGCAATAGCATTTGGATTTACTACTGCTTCATAGTGTTTTACAGCATTCTCTTAAGCAGTTTGCAGAGTCTGCAACAATCTGGGTCCTCATTTTACCGACCTCGGAAGGATGGAAGGCTGAGTCAACCTTGAGCCAAAGAGGATTGAACTCCTAGCAATCGGCAGAGTCAACCTGCAATACTACATTCTAACCACTGCGCCACCACAACTCATATCTAGAAATATCCAATGCAATGGTGGGATTCAGCCGGTTCG